CTTATCTCGTGGAACAGTCTGTGTTTAGTCTCTTATATTGACTCTTTTTAATTTATTTGATAACATCATAAACTAGTTACTCATCTAAAAACAGAAAAAACCCTAATTTAAGCTTATAAACTCCAACAACTTATCTTAAAACACTCATGGGTTCATATCCAAAATAATAAGGATATAATTCGTAACAAGTCCCCATAATAGGATCCATCACGCAAAGATTAAACAGTCTAAGAAACCAACTCATATATTTGAATGACTAGTCCAAATATACTGGCGTGGTCCCAAAGTGAACATAAAACTTGCTTGTAAAAAAAAAAGAAGGTATTTAGAAATACCTCAAATGTGGACAAACTTATATATATATATATGCATATATGTTTTGTCCTTTCACTCTTCTTCTTCTTCTCATCATCTCCTCTGCCCGGACTTGAACTCATGAGGTGGAGCTATGCTCTCAAACCAAATGAGCTACAAATTCAGGCACTGACTGTTCAGCTTTTAAACTATAAGTACTGTTTCATTCGTTCATAAGTGAAAGCAAAATTTTCTAGTAGGCCCAAATCACTCTAAAAGGCTTCTGTACACATAAACGAAAACTTTGTCCATATAGTCGCAGTCCATAGCCCTATATATAACATTTGAATTGGAATGAGTGATGCCAATCATTTTGTTTAGCTCATCTCATTTTTTCAGTAGCCTGTAATTTATTGGATAAAATTGATAATACAAATCAATATAATTTTGTTTTAGCGGGTAAAAAAATTAAACGATTAGTAATATAAAATAATTAACATTAACATAAAATAACCGATTTAACAAAACTGAAAATAAAGTTTTTTGGTAGTAACGTTTTACATAATTGTTTTAACCAGGAGTGGCCAAAACACATGGAGTTATCAATAAAACTTTCATTACAAAGTGGTTTTAATGAAGATTTATGTTATTACAAAAGTGGTCCTTATGGAGATTTATTTTTACATTTTATCATCATCGACCCATCGTCGTCATCTGAGAACGTCACGGAGACTCGGTTTCTTACAAACGGAGAGATAACAGTAGAAGCGATTCAGGCGAGATAAATCCGATGAAAGCTTTACTAAATCCAGAATCTTCCTTCATTCTCTCTTCGATCTCTTCTTCACAGATCAACAGGTCTTTAAACTTCACAGGACTGAGTTCTTCATGTCTCCGGTTTCCGTTAATCGATTACAGTGGCCGTTCACGGCGGCGGAAGATCACTGATGGGTTGAGTATAAAGGCGGTGTTGGACTCCGCAATGATGGAGCAATTAGGGCTTAAAGAATCAGATATTAAGAATCCGGCGGTATCTACTACTTATCGGGGATCAGCGATTCCGAAGCCAAACCCTACAGTTCTTGATGCTCAAGCTAGAGTTTGTACAGGACCAACTCAGACTAGACCCCTTAGTGAAGAACAGGCTTTTAAAGTGTTTGATACTATATTAAGATCAGGTAAGCATTTTCACTCTCCGAATTTGACTTAATCGATTCGTTAATTCATGTTTGGATAGTGGACCAAAGTACCGATTTTGATAGATTTTTAAATTTGCCTTAGTATTTGAAAGTTTTAAGCTTTATATCTGCAGCTTGTTTGGTTTTGGTATTACTATTGTGTGGCTTTGTTAGAATTTAGGATAGAATGTGAAAAATCCAAGTGAGTAAGATTTGCATATGGTTTTTGGTTTGCCTCATTACTCGTCTCACTGGGGTGCAGCTAGAGGGGAGCTAAAAGATGAAGAACCTGTTTCAAAGGCGCAACTTGGGGCATTTTTTGCTGGGATGACAATCCGTGCTAATGCTTTTCCGGAGGAAACTCAATGGAGTGAAGGGGAAAAGAGGGCAATGGATGTGTTTTGGCCACTCCTGGTTAGGGTACTACCTCCTGATGTGCTATTCATTGCTGATCCTGAAGGCTCTCTTTTGGGTACGGGAAGTTCGGTTGGACCAAGTTTTGTTGGTAATGAAACTCGTGAGATGAGGTTGGTTGGTGCGCTAAGAGAGATTTTGGCTGGAGGTCACCTTGGTTATGAAGAGGTTAAGGGTGTGTTAAGAGATGTTCTTCCGCTTGAAACGGATGGTAGCTTAAAATCGGGAGTAAGTGAGTCATTGCTTTCGGCATTTTTGATTGGCCAACGCATGAATAGAGAAACAGATCGAGAGCTTAAAGCTTACTGCCTTGCATTTGATGACGAACATGGTAAAAACATAATTTAGAATAGAGTGAAATTCAGAGGATGGAATGATAATTTCGCAAAGATACAAGTGCTGGCTTGAGTTAAGTATCTTCAACTAATTTCAGGGGCTCCTCCAGTTGCTGATGTCAAATCCTTAACCCATTATGGCGAGCCTTATGATGGGAATACTAGATTCTTTAGAAGCACTCTATTTGTGGCTACGGTTAGATCCTGCTATGGTGAATCTTCACTACTCCATGGGGTGGAATGGATGCCTCCGAAGGTATGAATAACGAAATGATCATTTTTTCAGCTTACATTTCGTAGAGATGAATTATAATGACACTTTATTAGATTTCGTTTTATTTACTTTCTAGCTCTTCTTATATTCTTCAGGGGGGTGTAACTGAGGAACAAATGCTGAAATTTATGGGAGCAAATACAAGCTTGTCTGTTCAGCAGGCAAAAGAACTCATCGAGGTAACCTATCATAATTTAAACTAATGTCCTACAGGTTTTCTCTGTCTTTCTCCTGCAAGCCTATATTTATGATTCCTGCGCTCAGTAATATCCTGTATGATTCTTCCAGGATGAAAAGGCTGGATTTGCATATCTCAGTCTACGGGAAGCTCGGCCGTCTCTGTATGAAATCCGAGAACTATTTGTTTGAGCCGTTCCTTGTTTATCTTAGATCTTGGGATATACTAATGGATATAACATTTTAAATGATATTTGCAGATATTCGCTAATTGAAATGAGAGAGCATATAAAGAAACGTCCTCCTCTCGCAACAACAGAAAAAGTTCAACAATTTGTGAGGGTAAGACATCTATCGCAGGTCCCTGTCTTTTATGCTCCATGCTATTAGATTTGAATGGCTCGGGACGCTACATAGCTCAGGATGACTAAGTTTTAGAAGAAAAAATATCGAGGGCTTGACTCTTGACAGAAGGTGTCTGTATGCAGACATTTCATGGACTGTTTTTTCACTGCAGGCGACAGGAAAGGAATCAATTGTTGCTGGGTTTTACCACGAAGGCTATGAAGAACCTCTCTTGATGCTTATGAGACGAAGAGGTGTCCATTCTGGTTTGGTTGTCAAGGTTGACTCTCTTTTGCCACAAATATATACTATTGCCCTACAAGCTGTTATGCACTTGGAACTTTTAAAGCCTGAAATCTGTTTAGGAACTCGTCCCACTAGTTTCCATTAAAAGTTTTAAAATTTGAACAGAGAAAATTTCAGGTATGATTATGAAGAAATTTATTTAAAAAATTATTGTTTAATGCAGGGTGAGGAGGGGGCTCTCTCAATGACAACACGTGTGCGAGCAGCAAGTGCATCCAAAGGGTTTCCAGTTAACTACTGTTCTGGGTTTCGTTCATCGAGTTCGGACACAGCTCTAGAAGCTGACGGTAATGATAGCTGTATTAACTTTCCTAGATTCAAACTAGACTTAATTGCTTGAATATTATAGGAACCCAGGCGCAAATTTGTGTTTGTGGTAAACTGGCTTGTAAGTGGTAAGAGTCCATAGGCTATTAAACTACCAGCTAATCTCATATTTGGTTGGCATGCAGTTTGATGTATTATCTGCCTTGGTAGTCAAAGTGTTTTGGTGGATTGGCCTTTCTTAATTGCCTTGCAATCTAACAGAGCTGTTGTTTGTTTAGATTGGTCCTTATTCGAATAGATATGAAACTAATCTGCCTTGTCCCGTGGTGCTAGTATTTTTTTTGGTTGTTGTTGTACATCGATATAGTTTCAGCTCCTAAAACTTATGCCTAAAGTAACTTCTGGAATCGTAGGGGTATCGCGTCAGAGTTTCAATCTTGAGGTGGATGCCAGAGCCTATGGGTTTGAACCAACAGAGACTCCACGAACTGATCGTTCGGTAAAACCTCCAAAAACACATACCTTTCACACTGATGGGAACAAAAAGGGAAAACTTTAGTCATACTTTTGTTGAATGAACAGGTGTCAAAGAACATAGCGCTGGGGTTGGCAGCGCTTCGTGGTGAGAAAGGTGCGGCTTATGATAGAATCGTCCTAAATGCTGGAATTGTGGATCACTTGTTGGGAAGTGAAGGTGCAGAAGATGTAGCTGTAGCAATGGAGAGAGCAAAGGAAGCTATTGACAGTGGGAAGGCTCTAAAGAAACTTCTGAACTACATAGAGATCTCACGCAAGATGAAATAGGTCCAACAATGTGGAGAGTCTGACAAATCATACATGGAATAGAAGAAGCACACACACCTTTCTGATTCTTTTTTTGTTTTTTTTTTGTTTTGTGTATTGTTGTTGTTGAAAACTGAGAGTGTTTTTTTACAGAGTGGGATACACAACACAACGCTTGTGGGGTTTCCTCCCATGGAGGGTTAGTAAATTGTACAGAGTCTGGAGAACAAAAGTTGCATATTTCAGTTTTGTTTATGATTTATGATTATGTTCTTAATCATCTTTGATTTCACTTTTACTGAATTAATCCCCATCAATAGATTCGGATGGAGACACTCTCTGTCTTTACGACAATGAGAAAGAAACAAAACCGGTTTGTGAATCGAAACGCAAGGGACGTGCGACGTTTCTATAGGTTTGAGTTTGCAAAAAAATAAAAACAGAGTCTATTACAATTTTCTCTCTGTTTTTTTTAAAAATCGGTTTTGTAGCCAAAAGCTACAGAAATGAGTAAATGACATTTGGTTGTTGATAAAAAACTCTTTTTGCCGATACCAGTGGCTCTGCTGCTTCGTCTTTTTGCGTTTTATTGATGCCACATGATCTCATCAGACGAGTGTCCAAATTCACGTTAGACACACAATTGTAATCTGCCTAAGATATACTTTTTTATATCATATAAAAGACTAATCCAGCAATAAGCTCACACAAGTTTTTCTTCCTGTGCTCTAGAGACCTTTGAGGTAGCAAAACTAATCCGAAGGTGAGTCCTGATTGATCTAGATTTCTAAAATCCCAATTGATCGTCTCGATTTCGAAAACCCATTTCGAAAGGGGTCACCTTTTCTTATCTCTAGTTTGAGGTTGTTCTGTGGATTTTGAGTTGTGGGGTTCACTCTTTACGTGGCTTTATGCTCGAATCTAATGTGTTGTTGATGATTTTATTGGCGTTTTTTTTTCACTGCTAGTGTATGGGAATAAAGTGATTGTAAGTTCTGTAGTTTTAGGTTGGAGAAAAGTCATCTTTATGATCGAACTGAACAAGTCAACTCTGCAAAATCTCTAGTAGTCTACTGATACACTTGGTCTATTGATACCTCATTAATCCCTGCACTAATAAAGGGCTTAGCGTTACTTCGGTGTTCGATTTACAAACTAGATCATGGATTTTCTCGTGATGACTTCGTTAAAGTATTATACACCTGCTTATATTGGTTGTAGAGAGATAGTGAGGCATTATTTTTCCCTTAGCCTGAGAAGTGAATCCTGGAAATGTCTCTCAAGGCATTAGACTACGATTCCCTGAATGAAAACGTGAAGAATTGTCAGTATGCAGTCAGAGGTGAACTCTATCTCCGTGCTTCTGAGCTTCAGAAAGAAGGCAAAAAGGTAATAACTTTGCAATTGTCAGCTTCATTTGCTCTTTTTAACAGGAGATTTGGGCAATGAGTGTCTTTGGTTGACTTAAATCTGTTTGATTGTCACATTTACAGATTATTTTCACAAATGTTGGAAACCCCCATGCTTTAGGACAGAAGCCTCTGACATTTCCTCGTCAGGTATAATTCTAATACTTTGCGATGATATATCTTGTTCAATCTATACATTAAGCCTAAAGAGATTAAAAACCAATGCAGGTGGTTGCTCTATGCCAAGCCCCATTTCTGCTAGATGACCCAAATGTTGGGATGATATTCCCAGCAGATGCTATTGCAAGAGCTAAGCATTATCTCTCTTTGACATCTGGTGGTCTTGGTATGTCCTTATTAGAGAACTCAGATCATGGTTTTATATTGGCTTAGGTTGTACAAATATTTAGCAAATTTTGCTTTTATGTATACTCAGGTGCTTACAGTGACTCAAGAGGTCTTCCAGGAGTTCGGAAAGAAGTTGCTGAGTTCATTGAGCGGCGTGATGGATATCCAAGGTGATTGCTTTATGTTGATTATTTATGCAATGAAATGGATTTGCGGTAAAGAAAACCTACTCTGAGGCCGTTTGATTCTTATCTTCAAATCACAGCGACCCAGAACTTATATTTCTAACTGATGGAGCTAGCAAAGGTGTGATGCAAATATTGAATTGTGTGATACGCGGTCAGAAAGACGGAGTAATGAACCTTAACTCGCTTGTTCATTTATCTAAAATATTTGTACATGGATGTTGAACCATTTCGTTTGGTTTTTTAATGAACTGGTACATATCAATGTGGCATTAGAGCCTGTCCCTAGTAAAGGTTTACTCTAGTGAGATGTAGTGCAAGCCAAATGGACTATATGTTATAATCCCACATCAACTGTATAAGGGGTTACTTGATAGCACAAAAAATAAGATTTGTGGCAAATAGTATAGGTTAGAGTAGGGTTATAGTAGCATCTGGGTCACAAGTTTTCTTGGTTGGCAGATTCTGGTTCCAGTTCCACAATATCCACTCTACTCGGCTACCATATCTCTGTTAGGTGGCACTCTTGTTCCTTACTATCTTGAAGAGAATGAAAATTGGGGACTTGATGTTAACAACCTTCGTCAATCCGTTGCTCAGGCTCGCTCTCAAGGAATTACAGTTAATACTCTTCCACTCTTCTTCTCACAACTGTTGATGCAGAGACCTTTTTATGAAATCTTACTTCTCTGCTCTAATTTTTGTTCATATATGATTAATGCAGGTAAGGGCAATGGTGATCATTAACCCCGGAAACCCAACTGGTCAGTGTCTTAGCGAAGCTAATTTAAGAGAGATACTGCGGTTCTGTTGTGATGAAAGATTGGTTCTTCTTGGAGACGAAGTGTATCAGCAGAACATATACCAAGATGAGCGTCCCTTTATCAGTTCCAAGAAGGTAAATAACTTTGTCTCAGTGGTATCTTTAAGTCCTTAGCTTTGATTTTATTAGTCTATGCATTTGCTTTGTGATCACTGGTCTTTGGAACTTCTGCATGATTGATCCTTCATTTTACTGTAAAGGTTTTGATGGATATGGGAGCTCCTATCAGCAAGGAAGTTCAGCTCATATCTTTCCACACTGTTTCCAAAGGATACTGGGGAGAATGTGGACAAAGAGGTGGTTACTTTGAGATGACAAATATCCCTCCCAGGGTTTGTACCTGACCATCTCTTTTTTACCTGTGATTTTGGTAATTGCAAGGGCTTATTAATTTCTTGTGATGCAGACCGTTGAGGAAATATATAAAGTTGCCTCTATAGCTCTAAGTCCCAACGTCTCTGCACAAATATTTGTAAGCTAGCCCTTCTTAGTGTTATAGCTACTGTTGGTTACAGGATGATTTCACAGCTGAAACCGATGATTCCTATTTATGTGCAGATGGGTTTAATGGTTAGTCCACCAAAGCCTGGAGACATTTCTTATGACCAATTTGTTCGTGAAAGGTATATATAATTAGTTAAGATGTTCTACCCTAAAGAAAGACGCTTTGATGAAGGATCAAGATCTCAGTACGTGTTTGTAACCTTATTAACAGCAAGGGAATACTAGAATCACTTAGAAGAAGAGCAAGGATGATGACTGATGGATTCAACAGCTGCAAAAACGTCGTCTGTAATTTCACAGAAGGTGCAATGTATTCGTTTCCACAAATAAAGTTGCCGCCGAAAGCAATCCAAGCAGCCAAACAAGCCGGAAAAGTCCCAGACGTTTTCTACTGCCTTAAGCTCTTAGAAGCCACAGGAATCTCCACAGTTCCAGGCTCTGGATTTGGACAAAAAGAAGGGTGAAAACCACCTTGTGACTTAAAAAACAACAGTCTTCATGGTCTTGCAAAACCTCTTAGAGAGCTCATTATGTTTTGTCTTGTTTCAGGGTGTTTCATCTGAGGACAACAATCCTGCCAGCAGAAGAAGAAATGCCAGAGATAATGGACAGTTTCAAAAAGTTCAATGATGAGTTCATGTCTCAGTACGGTGATAGCTTTGGTTACTCCAGAATGTGAAAAAAAAAAGAGACTCGGAGATCACTTGTTTTTCTTTAACGACATTATTATTATTGTCTATTCACACTCTTAAAAAGCTTTACTCACTGGTCCTACTCTCTGTAAAACTCTTCTTGTTACTCTTTATAAAAAAACCTCTGTATCTATTGTAACAACAGAGCCACACAACATACCAAAAAAAAAAACATCTCAGTTTCATCAATACTATAATTAAAGTGGATACTGTTAATGATTTATTTAATTATTAGGTGGACATGTTATTATCTTAGAAAACTTTGGAATAAATAACGATCGTGATAATTGATAATCTTTTTCCTTTCTCATAATATTAACATAAATATTTTATCTGCCGTCAAGATTTATATTTTTAACTTTTTAAAAATAAAAGATATAATTAAATAAGTCCAGTACTTATCTCGTGAGTATTAAAAAAAGTACTCACAGTTAAAAGTTAAAACTAGTCTAAATTGTATATTTTAACGATAAGAAAACCAAACCAAACTCTTTCTTTCTTTTGCCTCCTCCATTTTAGAATCTTCTTCTTAGCCTTTGAGCATTCAGAAAGAAGAATAGAGAAAAGCTCTAAACTTAATAAATCTTCTCCTCTTTCTCCTTTTTCTGAGAAAAGAAAATTTGTAGTTTTTTTTTTCCCAAGAAAACACACAAGAAAAACAATCTTTCCCCGCCTAAAAAGTTTCTTCCTTTTTTCCTCTTTAAAAGAGAAAAGTATTCAATTTTTCTTATATATTCAGTTGAATATTCAACAACCCTTGTTTGTTTCTATTTTCGTATAGTTATCCTTGTTGAATTTTCTAGGATCTTCTCAAAGTCATGGAGTTATCGGAAAAGTCCCTTAAAGTGACGATACCGGTGAAAGCTCCGATGAGTTCAACAAAGCCAGAGAAAGAAGACAACAAAGAAAAAGAAGAAGAAGACAAAGACAACAAAGAAGAAAAAGAAGAAGATGGATTGACCACTCCAAAGGGGGAGGAATATAGGATTCCGCCGCTACATGAGTGTCCTCCGGCACCTGGACCAGGCATCTACCGGAAAAAGATCGAGAAACGCCGGAAAAAATATGCCGGACAAAGGATTATATCTTTCAACGGTCAAGATTTGGATACTTTCTTCTCAAGAAACCAAGAAGTTGCAAAGGATTCTTGATACATTCCTAGTGAGTTTAGTTTATTCCTTATTAACTAACTAATTTGCAGGGGTTTTTGTTCTTTTTTAACTTATCTTAAGACTTCTTATTAGTAGCATAATAATTTTCTTTATCTTCCTCTTTCTTTGTATACATTTTGTTTTTGGGTATGATTAGTTTTAATATCGACTAAACCAATAATGAAGAAGAACTAATTAGCCCATAATGCAATTTTTGACCGATTATATTGTTTTGACTGTTGAACACTTCTTCTTCTCTTCTTCATTGTCATGTGTGTGATATTTAAAGGTTTGTTCTTCTTAACATTAAACCCAAATAAGGTATTTGGAAATCTGGCAAGTGCTATACTATACATGTAGTATTCAGTGTCTGTAAACAAATTTGGATATATATTAGTGGGACGCATCAAAGTATATAATTATATCGAGCTTAAAATAAGACTATGAACCTTCTTGTGGCCAACCAGTTGGCTAACAAAAACAGTGAAAGAATAAAGTTCATAATGAGTGAATTAACAAATCTTAGCTCGAGTCATTTTATCCTTCCTACTTTGGTCAGCTACTGGATAAAAACGTTTGAATCCGATTCACATATATATCATTTGTTTTTGTATCAATCAAACCAAAAGCTATAATATTTGAGAAGAAAAATCAAACTTGGGGGGATTGACCCACATGACACGGCCACGCAACAAAACCACTGTCCACTGAGAGTCTAAGTAGAGGTCAATATCATGTTTGGTAAATGGTTCGATAATTGAATAGGCCATGTCGATCGAGCTGAATAGAATCCTATGTATCACAAACTGTTTCATACTCTTATTTTTGTATTTCACTTTCTTGTGAAAAAATTTCAAGTCATGTTTTTCCATAGAAAATAGTAGTATCCAGCAAAGTAACAGAGTCAAAAATTCTCAAGTTTTAGGCACTAGTAAACCTTTTAGACCATCACATTCACATGTTGTGTAGTTCTTTTATTATTATAGCTCTAAACTTATTGTCCAAATTATATAATAATCATTACCAATATGTTATTCATTAAGATTTGTATACTCTAATTTTTGTTTAATTTCCACATATTTATTAAAAATAGATGGACACTTTTACTTTTGCAGGCCCAGCCCAAAAAATAAATATTAATGTCTCGTTTTTTTTTAGCTCGGTCCACTAACCCCTTTAACGAAATTTTCTTGGCGGTTTAAGTATGTCACGTGTCACACTATAATCTAGTGGATTTAACTGTCTCTAATCACATTAACCGTTCGATCTTCGTAACCAACGAAAACAATAAAAAGGAAAAATAAATAAATTAGCGGAAAAAAAGAAAAAAAAACGAATCGTTTACTTACCCCTCTTTTGAAACCGACGGTGGTCTTTCTTCGCCGGAGACGATGAAGCAGAGAACGTGGCCTTGTAGATCCGAAGGTTCTCGATTCACCTCCTTACCCTTTTTGAAACCTCAAGACAAGGATAAACGCACTAGATTTTCTCCAATCTACAGAGCGACGACTAAGTCAAGCACCAGCTCTAGGTCTTCTTCTTCTTCGGCAAATGAGTTCGGGGATTTCTCGATGCTACCGTTTGATATACTGATGAAGATCGCTGCGCCGTTTACTCTTCCGAATCTTCAAGCGGCGTCGTCGGTGTGTAAATCGTGGAGAGACGCTCTAAAGCCGTTGAGAGAGTCGATGTTGTTGCTCCGGTGGGGGAAAAAGTTCAAGCATGGTCGAGGAGGTGTTCGACCGAATCTCGACAAGGCTCTTGATTCGTTTCTGAAAGGAGCTGCGCTTGGGTCTACGCTTGCTATGGTTGATGCTGGGCTTGTGTATTGGGAAACGGGAGAGAAGGAGAAAGCTGTGAGTTTGTATCGGAGAGCTGCTGAGCTTGGTGATGCTGTTGGTCAATGCAATTTGGGGATTTCTTTTCTTCTAGGTAATACACTTAAGTTCCCATGGCTTTTTGATTGATTTGAATTTTTTGTAACCTGTATAGCAATTTCAGTTGTTCATGATTGATATTGATTTTTTCTGGATTGTGGTATCTAGAATTTCGATTGACGAGCTTATTACTGACCAATTGGTGATGGATTTTGGTGGAGCATTTTCTGAGCAATTGGTTGCTTGTATCTGCAGTTGAACCCTCGAATCCGAAGGAAGCTATCAAGTGGTTGAAACAATCTGCAGAGAATGGCTACGTTCGAGCACAGTATCAGTTAGCTCTTTGTTTACACCACGGCCGGGTTGTGCAAACCAATATGCTAGAAGCTGTATGTGTGCCTTCTTCTGATCTTTTCTTTGTTCTTTTAGTTGAGATTCTATAGAATTTGTATTGTCTTTGTGTGGTGGGGATGCAATATTGATTTATATTTGCATCTTTGTTTCTGATTCTTCATATTTATGGCTACAACACACTCAGTGGAAACTGATAATGCTATCTTTGGACATGTGCTTAGTTCAAATGTGGATGTAGATAATGCTATGCTTGGACATGTTCTTTGTTCATTTTTGGATGCTGATATTGCTATGTTTTGACATATGCTTAGTTCTTTTGTGGAAATGTTCAGTTTCTGTCTTTATCATCTTTCTAAAAACTCCATAAAGTTTGCATATAGATAATTGGAATTTTCTCTTTTTAACAGACAAAATGGTACCTAAAGGCAGCAGAAGGCGGGTATGTACGGGCTATGTATAATATTTCGCGTTGTTACTTGGTTGGAGAAGGCTTACATCAAAACCGAAAGCTAGGAAGAAAATGGATGAAACGTGCAGCTGATCATGGCCATAGTAAAGCTCAGTTTGAACACGGCCTTGCTCTATTTTCGGTAAAAATCTCTCATATCTCAGTTCAACAAAGCTTTTTAGAGTCCTTGAAATGTTGGACCATGAGTTGATTTGATATACGGTTGTGGGAGGAGGAACTGATGAATGTAATGGGGATGATACAGGAAGGGGCGATGCTGAAATCTGTACTTTACTTAGAACTCGCGGAACGTGGTGGTGAAACAGCTGCGCGTCACGTCAAGGAAGTTATACACCAACAACTTTCTGCAAATTCTCGTCAGCATGCCATACAACAAGCCAATAACTGGCGTGCTCTACCAGCATCTCGGTGACTCTCATATTTGGTCAAGTGCCATTGATACCTCCTTAACTTATCTTCCAATTTGGCCGTGATTCAATTACAAAACCTTGTAAAAAAATAACCCAGAGAGTTGAAATTGGTGCATGATGATTTATTGTTGATGAAAAATCAGTGTAGTAAACTTTACTATTGATGATGTCGTTACAAATAAGTGAATAATAGATTAGTTGTGTTCCCTTTCTGTTTCTGAAACGTATGCATACTTCTATTATCGTTTGGGGTTACAAATGTCCGAACAAATAAAGGGATATAACAAATCCTGCTTCTATAATAGTGCTTCTACAGAAAGCGAACTCTATTCAGATCAATACATATACTTTCTTGTATTGGTTGGTGAACATTATCTCTGTTCGGATGGAAAGCTTTTATGACTTATAATTTTGATATTCTTTTAGGACTCGTTAGCTCTTATAACCAACAAGTGCCTTAGGCCCTTAGCTATGCTTTGCAGCTTGAGCAGGAGGATCTCTTGCTGACTTATTAGCTCTTATAAGTTCATTATTGAGTCGTAGCCAAAATGAATTCCAAAATCCCAAAAGAAAATAGTCGAGAAGCAGATAAAGAAACGAATAAGTGAAGAGTGGCACAGCATTGACAAAAGCCTTTAGTTATTTAGTTCTTTGTGTTAATACTCTACGATTCTTTGTTATCTTGCTTACGGAATCGAATCCCGATCTAAAATCATTCAGTTTCATCAAACTAAACTAATTCTATAACATTGAAATTACTGTTGAAAGCCTTTACCATTTCTCATGCACAACCACATTAGACAGCCCACATTTAACTGATCAAATCCTGCATCTTTATGACTACAATCGAGCAAGCTTCTAAAAGGGTTCTTGATTTGACAAGAACAATGCACATTATTTACGACGAGTTTGTTATCTCAGATCAAGGACCATGGCAGGCAAAATGAATCAACGTTTAACGCAAATTCTAAAGCTACCGGAATTACGAAACCACAAATGTCAAACCAAATCTGAATTCGGAATAACAAGCATTTATCAAAATCCAACAAGAGGTTCATAAAACTACTAACTTTAAAGAGAGATCTCTCTCTCATTCCAAAATCCAAATGACAACAAAAGATAATTAAATAAAAAACTCCAGAGAAGATTCAAAAACCAAGAGTCAAGCAAATTTAAAAAATTCACCTAACCTAAGCAGTGAGCACAACGGCACCACCAGCTTCCTTAATCTTCTTCTCAGCAGTCTTCGAAATCAGCTTCGCCTTCACAACGAACGGCTTGTTCTCAGGCAAATGACCTTTCCCCAAAACCTTGAAGAAACCATGCTGCGTCACATCGATCAAGGGAACGTTGTCCTTGGTTGATTTCGCCTTCACTTCCTCGGGCACGAGTGACCAGAGCTTGTCGAGGTTCACGATTGGGCAGAAGAACTTGTTCCTCAGCTTGTGGAAGTACCTCATACCAACTTTACCGAAGTAACCTGGATGGTACTTGTCGAAGAGGATCCTGTGGTGATGCATACCTCCAGCGTTACCACGACCTCCGGGATGCTTTCTGTGCTTTCCGATACGTCCGTGCCCGGCACTCACGTGACCTCTCTTCTTCCTGTTCTTCTTGAATCTCGTCGTCATTTCCGCCGAATCTGTTTCCTCTCCTTCGCCCTTCCTTTCTCTCTCACTGCGGCTAGGGTTTTCTGAAGAAATGGTACATTTATAAAGAAGACGACGGATGTTTTTATTTCCTATTTTGCCCTCTAGGGTTTACACATCTATTATTGGGCTGTAACGTTTGATGGGCCTATATGTCCAGTTAGTGTATTTTCACATTTTGATGGTATCCGAACCGAACCAAACTGAAATTGTTAAACCGAAATCAAACCGTGATATCCCACTTTTAGGGAGCCTTGTTCGTGTGATTCACTCAAAAACGACATCGTAGTGAGGAAGAGAGAAGTTGTATCTACCACATGATTGACCGAACCTCCACGCGCATTTCTCACGCGCCGGTGTTGTTGTTGTTGTTGTTGTTACCTTTGTGGTTCATGCCTTCGGTGGTGGATCTCCGTGGGTCACACCTTGTAGATTATTTTGGTTGACACGGAGCATCCTTACGTGACGTCTTCTTCTTCAACTTTCAAAACGCAGCGTTTCAATTTCGTCTTCTGCATTTCATATGAACCAAGAAAAAGCTCAGACGGAGCACTCTTCTTCATCTTAACTCCACCGATCACAAATGGCTCTACAGGTACTCGGCTGCACGAGCAGCCGCCCTATCCGCGTCTCTCTTCACCGGTGTTCTCTTATTTCCGCCACTGACGATAACTTCAGAAGGAAGAATCTCCGATTCGTTACAAAACCGAAATTGTCCTTTACCTTTCAATCTTCTAGTGGAAAAATTCGTATGCCTCCGATTAATTGCTCGACGGTGAATGGAGCAGTAGTGGAAACTGCGGAGTATTACGAAGGAGAAGGAGACAACGTCTCAGTTCCCGAGAGGATTCGGCAATGTATTGATTTCCTCAGAACGATTTTACCAGGTGGAAGCTGGTGGAGTTTCACGGATGAGGTTGATACTAGGTTCATTGCGAAGCCTGTGACTGTTTGGCGTGCGTTAAGTCGGATGTGGGAGCTTGTGGCTGAAGATCGTTGGGTCATCTTCGCTGCGTTTTCGACGCTTATCATAGCTGCGGTGCGTGGTTCTTTCTTTGGTTGTTATGTATAGTGTTGTAGTTTGAGATAACAGGCAACACTCTCTTGGTAATGTATTGAAGATAGCTTTGTAGAACTGTGTGTAGTTGTATAATTTAAGATAAGGCAGCAATAGTGTTAGTAGGTAGAATCAGAAATTGAGAATCTTCCATTTTCTTATGTTTTCTCTCTACTTTGTTTACAGCTTTCAGAGATAACTATTCCGCATTTTCTAACAGCGTCAATCTTCTCGGCACAAGGTGGTGATATCACTGTGTTTCATCGAAATGTCAAGCTCTTGGTTCTGCTTTGTGTTACTTCAGGCATTTGCAGGTCAAGATCTTGTATGGTCAAACGCTTGTCTCTGTTTTTTGTTTTTTTTTTGTTGTTTTTCAAGTTGAATGGGAGGGTTACTATTGTTCTCTGACTACTTACTATTTTTGATATTCTTTTACGAAATATTTCCAGCTAACTCTTTGTTCAACTTATAATTCCAGTGGTATACGAGGATGCTTCTTTGGGATTGCAAATATGATACTTGTGAGATTTCTTCCCATGGGTTTTCCTTTTTATTTGTAGTTTTAATCCACTCAGGAATTTTTCCTTCTATGTAGGTGAAACGAATGAGAGAAACGCTATACTCTACTCTCCTTTTCCAGGTCCTGAAAATTTCTAGTAGTGGCATCAATTTTGAATCTTGCTTGCTCATGTGTATCTTTATTTTTATTCTAATTGGATTGACTGGATTGTGCATCAGGATATATCATTTTTCGACTCTCAAACTGTTGGTGACTTAACAAGCAGACTTGGGTCGGACTGCCAGCAAGTATCGAGGGTCATCGGAAATGATCTGAACATGATATTTCGCAATGTTCTTCAGGTCTTTTGCTAAACAATATAATTTCCATCTCGCCTGAAGTGCATCATGCATTGCTGACATCTGAATGTATGTACCTTCTTTCTTCTAGGGTACAGGGGCATTAATATATTTGCTGTTTTTGTCTTGGCCCCTTGGGCTATGCACATTGGCAATTTGCTGTACTTTGGCTGCGGTTATGTTCGTTTACGGAATGTAAGATTCTACATTTACTTTTCTCTCTTTGATTAAGATTTCGAATCTATAAAGATATAGTAGATTATACACCTGGGCAGCTGCAAGTGATACTTAAGCCTAGTGTGTTTATGACTGGGGGCAGAAAATGAAGTTACATCTGGTCATTTTGTAGGTACCAAAAGAAGACAGCAAAGCTTATTCAGGAGATCACTGCCTCTGCAAATGAAGTACATTTGTTCAAGAACCCATATCTTAACATGTTTATGCTATGAATTCTTTCATTAATAACTGCTCTGTGATCTTAAAGGTGGCTCAAGAGACATACTCCTTGATGAGAACCGTTCGTGTATATGGGACAGAGAAGCAAGAGTTTAAAAGGTGCAATCTGTTTCCATGAAAAGCCTTGAAAGTGTCTCCATTTCTTATAATTTTTCTGGTGAATTTTTTTCGATATTGGCTTTTAAGAACAGTTTCAATCACAGCCAAGTAATTTTTTGACATGGATTTTCTCCCCTTCTGTTGGTGCAAAGGTACAATCACTGGCTTCAGAGATTAGCGGATATTAGTTTGAGACAGAGTGCTGCATATGGTATTTGGAACTGGAGCTTCAACACCCTATACCATGCAACTCAGGTTCCTCCAAATATATCCCCTGGTTTGCTTAGCTTTTCTAGTTAGACAGTTTGTGAGAAGGGAGAATAAAATTGTGGTTCTTAAATATGGTGATGCTCATGCTAAGAATGTGACATGATTCGTCATTTTCTTCTCTTATAGATAATTGCTGTCCTGATTGGAGGAATGTCTATCTTAGCTGGTCAAATAACAGCAGAGCAGCTGACAAAGTTTCTGTTATATAGTGAGTGGTTAATTTATGCTACATGGTGGGTGGGAGACAATTTATCGTCTCTGATGCAATCAGTTGGAGCGAGTGAAAAGGTCTTTCAGATGATGGATCTTAAGCCAAGTGATCAATTTATAGCAAAAGGCAAGGTTCAATCTTTTTGGTAAAGAGCACTATATCATAGAACTGGTTAACCATTTATAAGATTGATGGAAGCGTGAGTTTGGTGATTATCAGTTGATCTTTTAGAATCAAACCCCTCTCAGGATGAACCACCTAGAGTAAATTACTTATGACTTACTACCTAGAGGCTTCCAGTGATTACTACGGTTTACCATGTGATGTTTTTTTTTTTTTTAAACTGCTGCAGGGACGAGACTGCAGAGACTGACAGGACATATTGAGTTTGTAGATGTATCGTTCAGCTATCCTTCAAGAGATGAGGTAGTACTGCATTTAAGTGGAATCTATTTTCTGATAACCTTTTGCTTCCAGCTTTTCGCTTTCGTGATGATGTCCTCAACCATCAGAATTTTTATCATTTATACCAGTATTGTCACAGATTCAAAAATTATATAGATTCTGACTTGCGATTTTTGTACCCATTGATGCTTGCAAATTAATGGCCAAATTTATGGTTATGTGTTTGCACCATCTTACATTATTGAGTATATTAGAATTCATGCACACACACCATAGAAAGTTTTTCGAGTCCTGTTTCAGCTTGTCATTAGGACTCATATTTCAGCTTGTCTTAACAATCATATCATATGTCAATCTTTCAGGTGGCGGTGGTCAAAAACGTAAGCATTTCTGTTCACCCTGGTGAAGTGGTGGCAATCGTAAGTATATCTTAAAGTAGTTCAGTGATGTCAATGTTTTTCTCTCTCGAAAGTGTTATGTGAACAAATTTGTTTTGTTTAGGTTGGTCTAAGTGGCAGTGGCAAAAGCACGCTGGTTAATCTTTTGCTGCAACTATACGAACCAACAAGTGGTCAGGTAGGTTACTCAAACTCACTGTAAAATAAGTTTCTAAAGCCTTCCTTCTAATAGCTAACTCTTGGAATTCCAGATTCTACTTGATGGGGTTCCTTTGAAAGAGTTGGATGTCAAGTGGCTAAGGCAAAGAATCGGATACGTGGGGCAGGTTCTCCTCACATTTCTGCTACATGAAATCAAATAAAAATTGATCACTTTCACTTTCCCTAAAGCTGTCGCAATGAAACAGGAACCAAAGCTCTTCCGCACAGACATCAGTTCCAACATCAAGTATGGATGTGATCGAAATATAACACAGGAAGATATAATATCGGCCGCAAAGCAAGCCTATGCACATGACTTCATCACAGCACTTCCCAGTGGTTACAACACAATGGTTGATGATGATCTACTCAGTGGAGGGCAGAAACAACGGATTGCCATAGCTCGTGCCATCCTTAGAGATCCCAGAATTCTTATCCTCGACGAAGCCACAAGTGCACTTGATGCAGAGAGCGAACACAATGTTAAGGTAACTTCTCTAATGCCAAAAAGAGAATTCACTTGGACGTACAAATGCTTAAGCCTTTTCTCTCCAGGGGGTGCTTCGTTCTATTGGAAACGACGCAGCAACAAAGAGAAGCGTCATAGTGATAGCACACAGGTATCATTTCATTTACAAATCCAATCTTTTACATATTTTTGGTAATCGATGTATAACCGATTAACATTTTGTTCCTTTACAGACTTTCTACAATTCAGGCTGCGGATAGAATAGTGGCTATGGACAGTGGACGAGTTGTCGAGGTAAGCCACACTCTCTTTCTGGTTTTGATTGATAAATTTTATGAAACCGTTGATCTATGTGATCTTGACTGTTATATTTATCCCCAAAACAGATGGGAAATCACAAAGAACTTTTGAGCAAAGATGGCTTATACGCTAGATTGACCAAGAGACAAGCCGATGCTGTCGTATAAATTATGACTAGTCATGACTATATTTTTAAATGGGCATGACGATATGTAATGATGGAAAAATTGTGTAAAGGTGTAACCATAGATAATTTCATAATTCTTATTTCACACAAATCGAGTCGTTTTCATATATCTAGTGTAAAACTACCTGTCGTTTCGATATTTCCTTATACAGCAGCTCGAAAATTTAAGGAAATCATTGAAGACTACCTGCAGTTTTCAGTATAACTCGGTCTAATCAATTCGAGAACAAGTAGCAATCTCAAAACGCTAGAGTCAAGGACTCAACCTTGCTGCTGCTCATGGACGCGTACCAGCCACCGCCTCAGTACATGAGACCACCGCCTGGACCTCCGCCTCCGACGGATCCTTACCACCAATACTATCAGCATCAGGCGAGGCCACCGGTTCCACCTTCTACGCAGCCAGGTGGTCCTCCTGCATGGTACCCCAACCAATTTCATAACCCTCACTCACCATCGCCACCACCTCCACCTCCGCCGCAGTGGGGACCACCTTCGCCGCACTATCCTCAGGGCCAACCTTACTCTTCTGCCGCTTATCCTCCTCACCAGCCGCCATTCCACGCTGGTGCTAACGGTAACAGTCCGTATCCTCCTCCGCCTGCTGGTGCGCCGATTCCTCCGCCATATCCTCAGGCTAATCAGGTTGCTCCGTCGTTGGATTATCTTATGTTTCGTTTTTCCCTTATCGAACTGTTAATTTTTGAATTTGGTTTTGATTTTGCATATTAGGAATGGGGAAATCCAAATTGGGGGTATCAACAAGGTCACAACTCTCAAGGTTCACTTTTTTTCATCGTCATCTATGCTATTGAGTGAATATTAGGGTTTTGGTTTCTGATTATCTCGTGATCGCAGCGAATAGCAACGTCGAGGACTGGGCAGTGAAAGCAAAAGAATGGGCAGCTGCGAACAAGGATCAGCAATCACAATCTGCACCAAACCAATCGAGCGGACAAGTCTACCAGCAGCAGTACTCTACTCAGGGCTTTCAAGATGTTCATCAACAGGCAGTTCCAGGAGTAAGCTATCAGCAGCAGTTTTCAGTTCCACCCACAGCACAGCCGGAGAGATATCCAAGTTATTCAGCGGGGAACGAGAGTTATGCTTCTGCTGGATTTTCCCATCAAGAAAACCTGCCTACTAGTTCTGCAATTCATCAGCAGGAGGTACCTTATAGTTATTCTTCTGTAGCAGGTAACCATTTACTTAGAACATCATTGTAGCTCCTAGTCAAGCACTCTATGTGGGTTTATTGTAACTTTGAAATTTCGTGGCTGTCTTCAAAGTTGTCCTGTCCTAGAAGTCTATGATAAATCATGTGTATAGTGATGTGCTGTGTAATATATGGTTACTTGCTCGCCAGAACAACCATTATATATCCTACGAATAGATTAGCCATTACTGATCATAGTTCTCCTTGCATTTTACTCCCTAAACAGAGTGCCTCTTTTTAGCCATTTTGTTGGTCTATAGATTGGTAACAGTTATTAAGCTAAGCTATTTAGACCTTCTAAACTTAAACTTGTTATTCTTTTTGCAGGTAAGGAAGAGTCTGGAAAAACAACACAGCACGAGGTGCAGTTATCAGTGCCTGATAGTGGGGGTCCTGTTCATGCAGAGCAGCATATGCAATATGCATATGGAGATCAAACAGCTAGTAACCTTAGTGATCAGCCTGTACAGTTTGCTACCAGAGAGAGTTCTGATTATGCTAGTGTTCACAATGCATGGCAGCCCCATGCCGCAACCGGAGTAGTCTATCCTCCAATGCCTTCATCGGTGCCGTCAATACCTCAGGTACCATAACGTTGTTTGGTTATATCTTTCATTTTTGTATTAGTACGGAGGAGGCAAGTTCACGTTTACTTTCTTTGCAGCATGAGTCATCTATGGCTATACCTTCTGTTTCGGGTCATACCATGCCTCCATATGGAGGGTTTCCCCCACCAAATCTCCAGCCTGTTGTACCTCCATATAATTTTGGAACAAAGCCGCCTCTGCACCCTGTTGCAGCATTCATGGATGACTCATATGCAGCATCATCCGTTCCTCCTAAAAAGGTAAGAATGAGTCGTTTTTAGAGGAGTATAGTACCTTCCCTGAATTCTGGCTAATAAGGTGTTTTCCAGGCTCCTGTACCTAACTGGCTTAAGGAAGAATTATTGAAGAAAAAAGCAGATCTTGGAAGGCCTTCTTCAGGGAGTTTTGAGGAGAGAGAATCAATGGATGAGGATAGACATTATAAACCTCCTTCGAAAGCTGATCAGCGTGACGAAAAAAACTTCAGCCTTTCCAAATCCTCTGACGAAGAAGAAGAGGAGGATGAGGTTCTTTGTTCTTTAAATACTTTTTTGTCACTATTCTTTTTTTGAGGACTTAAACTGTCTTGGTAAATTTAATTTGATCCAGCACCTTCACTAAAATGCATGGTTTGCTTCATGTAGGATGAGATAGATGCAGAAAGAACAGCAGCAATTAATATGGAGATAAAGCGTATCTTGACAGAAGTCCTTCTTAAGGTAGGTGGCTTGATAGAAATTGAGAGGTTGGTCAGTAAACGTGTTTCTGCAACAGTTGACATATGTCTTTTGAACAGGTTACAGATGAATTATTTGATGAAATTGCAACCAAAGTCATTAATGAAGATCAATCAATTCCAAAAGGTTTGTTGTGGCTTTTAGTTTCATGTCATTAATCTGTGGAACAAACCCTGAATCTTACCATTTTCTTTGCTATTATATTGTGCTATTCATCATTGCGTCAGATGACAGTAATCATAAGTTGTCATCTTCCCTTCTCTCCACAGCTGATCCACCCCACAAGGCTTCTGCAAATATTTTGGTCTCGGTAGAAGGCGCAAATAAAAAACCTAGTTCTGGCTCTCCAGCAGATGTGCTAGGTCTTGCAAGCTATGCCTCTGATGCTGATACTGATGCTGATACTGATGCTGCTTCTAATGAGGATGCTGATGAAAATGATGGAGTTGAAAGTCTTGGCGTGGGGTCAAGACACAGTGTTAGTCAGCATCCAAGCACTGAAAAGCTTCCTGAACCTGAAGCAATGGCCAATGCGAAATTGGATCCAGAAGTTGAAGTCAATGCTAATTCCGGCATGAACAATAAGTCAGGCTCGGAGGATAATTCTCAGATGCTACGCTCCAGAAGAAAAGATTATGAGGCAGGTAGTACCAAAATATCAGATGTATGTGCCAGCTCTGGACTCGATGATGATACTTCAAAAAGCAGGAAAAGGCATCCTGACAGAACTGATAGTGATAGAGATGCAGTACTAGATGAACCTCACAGGAAGTATTCTGGCTTGAAATCAGATTGCAACCTTCATCAGGATATCAATAAAACTTATGGGAAAGACTTTAGTGACGATTTGAGTAAGGATGTAAATAGAATAGATGAAACGAAAAGTGGGAAAGAGAAGGTAGATTCTCAGAATGGCTCAAAAGGTAGAATGAAGCAGGGGGACATAAAGACAGCAGAGAAAGTTAAAGGTGTTGAATCAAACAAAAAATCTACTGACCCCCATGTAAAGAAGGACGCAAGGGAAGTAGAGAGGCCTCACAGAACTAGTTCTAAGGAAGACCGGGGTAAAAAGAGGGAGAAGGAAAAGGAAGAGGAAAGGTCAAGACACAGGCAGACTGAAGACTCAAGCAAGGAAAAAAGAAGACGTTCTCCAACCAGCAATGGATCCTCTGATGATTCGACCAGGTGGCATAGGATGTTCAACATTAAGTTTGTCTGTCGGCTTGTTTTGTCTAATGCTATTTCTCAATACTCACAATGATTGTCATTACCTTTCTCCAGAAAATCCCGTTCTAGAAGAAGGAATGTATCGCCATCTCCTGTGAGGTCCAGAAGAAAACGTTCTTCTCCGTCCAGTGATGAATCCTCTGATGATGCAAAAAGGTAACAATAGAGTGTTCTACTTTGAATTGTGTAATTTTGTCTTTTGCTCTTCTTTTGTCTAATGACAACAATCTTGTGTTTTCCTCCAGGAAGTCTTCTTCAAGAAGAAGGAATCGGTCACCATCTCCTGGAAGGTCCAGAAGAAGGTAGCTTTTCTAAACTATTAGTATTATGAGATAGATCACTGGTGTTTCTATATGTTCCTCTTAGTCTATATTATTAGCACTAGGCTCTGAAAAAGTTAAAGATCTATCGTAAGCAAAAAGTATGACAAAAGACAATGGGTAAGCAAAAGCAGACAAGCTAGTCTGAAACTCACCACAAAAAATATCATATATGTTTTGATTGTATAGACATGTTTCTTCGCGGTCACCACATAGCAAGCATTCTCAGCACAAGAACACTCTCTACTCTTCTCATGACAAGTCCAGGTATGTTTTCAATGTTTCTTCTGTCTTAACAGGTGGTTAAAGCTGGATTATAAAAATAAAGAGTGTGCTATATCTTCTGTTTATTCAGTGAAACTAAAACCTGATTTGTTGTACAGGTCAAAGCGGTCAAGATCAAGATCCCCCCACAGGCGCCATCGTGCTAAATGAACACTCTAGCAAACGGGTCAGAGACCGTATCCGGGACATTGCTGTGCAGAGGCTTGGGATAATGCACTGGACGGACATCGATATAACCTGTAGTGAGCCAAATAGTGCATTGTAAACAGCTCTTTCCCTAGTTGTTTAAGAAGAAATATCCAAAAAGATTTTTGACTGCTTTGTTGACTTGTTTTGACTATTCTTGGTTGGTTAAGCGTTACTTTGTAAAAGTTTGTCTGGCAAAAACTTGTTGATGGTCTGTCTCTGAAACGTTGGATGATCAAATCTGTGTCTTATCCTCTTTCAAGATTCTTACATTCCACATTATTATGAGGTCGTATTAATTTTATACTTTGAACTGTAAGATTATAGTAAAATTAGTAACACATTTTTCTGAAGTGAAATGTCAAATTAAGTGGACTCAGTGAAGATGACGAATTGGTCTTTTGAATGTCGGTGTCGTTAGGCGAATTGCACTTAAACTATTGTGGGAGAAGAAGAATGAGAAATGTCAAAATCGGAAAACAATTTCTTGAAGATGACGAAAAGCGTTCACATGTCTTCTTCTTCTCCTTCCCCCTTCCTCCCGCCGGCTTTCCGCGTCCGAAACTTTGGTACTTCTCCATTTTCTTCTCTTTTCCGTTAAAGCTCCATTTTTTTTTCCTTCTCCTTTTATTTTCTTTTCCTTCTCTCTTCATTCTCAACTCTTCTTCCTTGGATTTTCCATGAAGCTTAAGGTTCCATTTTGCACTTGTTCTTTTATTTCCCCATTTTTCGAGATCTCTGTGTTTCAGTCTCCGACAAGTTTTTGACTTTCCATATGATTAAATCTTACAGGGTCTTCGAGCTGGATTGTTGTCTGTTTGGCTATCTGGGTTTCTCCTAATTGCTCTCTCTTTCTACGGCACTCAGCTTCTTTCTCCTTCTTCTCTCGATGGCCCTTTCAGATACTCTACCCGTTCCATTGCTGCTGCTCCCAGAATCACCATTTTCACTGCTCTCCATAGCTTGGATGAAGGTAGCCAAGCTTTGTTGGGTATTCGTTCATGGCTCGCTTTGTCTTCCCAAGTCACTGTGGTTTTATTCTCTCAACACAACAACTCTTCTTCTTATTCTTCCTTCACCGACAAATTTGGTTCTCGTCTTCTTCTCGATTCCACCATTGATTTCACGTAAGCTCTCTTCTATTCCCACTCTTTCTGTTTCTTTGTTTTAATTTGAGTTACTCACTGCTTCTTTTGTCTTTGAATGATTTGCAATGGAAGATTTTGAGTATGTGACATTTCGTTTTTTGTTTTTGTTTCAATTGGTAGGTTTCTTGGCACTCCATTTTTACACTCAATGTTGGCTAGAAGTGAAGCATATAAATCTGATATAGCTGTTCTGATGGATCCAGAGATTGTATTACTGCCAGATTTCGTTTCTGCTTTGAATCATGCTCACAAGCTTGATCGTGACTGGCTTCTTGTTTCTTCATCTGTGGATGTTCCCCGTTTCCCGTTCCATTGGGACGAAACAGGACATTTCTGGCGACAGGACAATGGGAAAAGGGTGAGATTTGGAGAGGTATGGAGGAAACCTTTAGTATTCTTTGATAATAATCTGCTCTGATTCTCTTTTAATCAAATTTTGATCACGTTGCTCTTCCTGTCAACAGTTGCAGAAGATCATAAGTAGTTTGCAGAGTTGGCAATCAAATTCTAGTGAAGGCAAAATGATTATGGCATGGAACAATGTTGATGAACCCTTGCACTGTGGAGTACTTCCTCCGTTTCTGTATCAAAGAGGAACTCACAATCAATGGATCATAAGTGAGGCTGTGTCATGTAAAAGAAGGTTTGTGTTTGATGCTACTTCGACCATATCGAGCTTTTTCCTAGGCAATGCAAAGAATAGGAGTGATAAATATAATGTCTCCGAACCCAAAACAAGAAATTGGGAATATATAGGAAACTCCCATCTCGGGCAGCTCTATGGGTCATTGTTCTCTAAGTCTTATACTCTCCCTAAGCTTTTGAAGTGCAACAAGCGCTATATGTTCGTCAGCGCTTTAGATCGTTCTGTTGATCTGTCTATGCTAGAAGGAAAGAGTGTAGGATTTCGTACGCGAGAGAAGATCTCAGCTTGTATCAGTAGAACTAAATCAAGGAGCTTGAAAATAGATTTTGTACAGAAGGATAAGGCAGTGCCACTATTGAAGTTTCCTTTTGACCTGCAGTCTCTTCTCCCATTAGTAGCAGACAAGAACAGAACTGTTGTTCTTTCAATTGCTGGGTATAGCTATAAGGACATGCTGATGAGTTGGGTCTGCAGATTACGCCGCCTCAAAGTTCCAAATTTTTTAGTTTGTGCCCTTGATGATGAAACTTATCAGTTTTCTATTTTGCAGGTAAGAAAGAAGTCTTTTGCTTTCCTTCTTAGTACATTGAACGATCGCATGTCAATATAGAGTTTATAATCAGTTGGTATCGTGTTCTATATAACAGGGTCTGCCAGTTTTCTTTGATCCATACGCTCCAAAGAACATCAGCTTCAATGACTGCCACTTTGGATCAAAATGTTTCCAGAGAGTGACCAAAGTTAAGTCAAGAACAGTTCTGAAGATATTGAAGCTGGGCTATAACGTTATCCTGAGTGATGTAGATATATATTGGTTCAGAAACCCGTTGCCTCTGCTTCAGTCTTTCGGTCCTTCTGTTCTCGCTGCACAATCCGATGAGTACAACACAACAGGTGATGATGATGAACTGATCAATTGGACCATACCTTGGTTTTGATTCTAATGAATTTGGTTATGTTTGATATTTGCAGTACCTATAAACAGACCAAGGCGCTTGAACTCGGGATTCTACTTTGCACGTTCGGATGGCCCGACAATATCAGCAATGGAGAAGGTGGTGAAGCATGCTGCAACCTCTGGTTTATCGGAGCAGCCTAGCTTCTACGACACTTTATGCGGAGAAGGTGGATCATATCGTGTGGGAGACGATAGATGCCTTGAACCAGAGACAAATGTGACAGTTCAGTTCTTGGACAGAGAGCTATTCCCAAACGGAGCTTACGGAGATCTATGGCTGAAGGAAGACGTGAGAGCAGAGTGCGAAAAGAAACATTGCTTCGTTCTACACAACAACTGGATAAGCGGGAGACTGAAGAAGCTCGAACGCCAAATGATGAGAGGTCTTTGGGAATATGACGCATCCATGAGGATGTGTGTATAGGATAAGGTTATACAAGTTAGATACGACGCTCTTAGTTTTGGATATAGGTATACAAAAATTGTGTTAAATTTATTGTATTGTATTATGAAAAAAGTAGTTTTAGGAATATTATGAACTTGTATACTCCAAAATATTGTTGGTAGCCATTGATAAAAGAATATAACTGATTTTGAGTTTGGATTTTTTTTTTTTTTTTTTTGGGTTTACTCTCCATATTACAATATCGATTTAGTTTGAAAACACAATCTATAATGGTTGCCACAGAAACAAATAAGTGGTGCCGGTATGATGATGATGATCTCGTCGATCCGAGTGGGGCTAAGTGCAGTATCATCATCACTTTGTTTTGGTACGTTGTGTCTACTATTTCAGTATTCACAAAGACACAAAGTCTGTTGAAAGACCTAACAATTGGCTCTCCCATCATTTTCTCATTAGTGCACTTTTTTCTCATAACTTCTTTGTGATATTTATGATTTCAAAAGTTATTTATGATTTAAAATCATTTTAAGGTGTTTATGTAATTTTGTAATAAAAATTTGAGTTTATATATTTAAGTACATATTCTTTAATCCAAAAGACCAACCAGTAATTATCAAAGTGACTCCTTTTATAATATCTCTTCAGTTATAAATACCAAACAAATAATACGATATTGCAAAATCTTCTTTCAAGGGACCGGTTGCACGAGACAAGAGGCCTACACGTCAATGGATCATACAATATGATAACGTTAGACAGATTTAAATTATATAAATAAAATATCTAATTTGGTTTCCCCATTTATATAAGAGTTTGTTTACTAGGAAAATAGAATAAAAGACATGCGAAAATATCTAAACTTGTAATTTGTACCACTGAAAATGATATCTTTTAACCATACACACGATAAGAAGAATCTATCATAGTGTCGTGTTCAAAGATCCATCAAACAAACATCAACAGAAGAAGTTACAAAGATACAAATATGTACATTTGTCTGCATATCTGATATTTGTTGTAACTTACATGTGTGTTACTATCTCACATATTCATTATATTTGCTTGCTTATTAAGTTAATAATCTATAGAGAGTAGAGACATTCGAAATTAACGTCGGTCGAGACCAGACCGGTTAACTGCAAACAGTATTGTTGTGTGGTTCCTTCGAACTCCACTTATCTTATAACACGCGTCATATTGGAATATATGACTCACCCTTTGTTGTCCTCAAAAAGTTTTCACTTTCTTTCTTACTAAAATGATTCAAAGAATATTCCCACCAAACAAAAAAATTACGTCGGCCAGAGTTTTTTTTTCATTTTAAAAATTTATGTCACATACACACACATGCATACAAATAAATAAATATCAATAATAAATCATAATAACCCATTCATATCTACGCTTTTTTCACACTCTTTTGAAAAGTCTCTATATATATAGCACATGAGTATTAGTGTTATTTTGGCTTCAAGAAAAGTTTATACAAACAAATAATTCATAACACCTCCATACTCCGAGAGCTTGCAAATAACTGATCATAAAAAGCATCATATATAACAGAAGTGTGTGATTATGGTCACGAATCCAACAACCGTCAAGTTCCTATGTAGCTACGGCGGTAGAATCACCCCTCGTTATCCCGACGGCAAACTCCGTTACCACGGCGGCGATACACGTGTCCTCTCCGTCTCTCGCTTCGTATCCTTCACCGGTTAGTTTCTTTAACCACTGTCTTCTTTAATGTCCCGTTTTCAAATTCATGTTTCTCTAGCTTAATTAAAAGCGTTGGTTTATAAACAGAGCTGGCGAGTAAGATCAGCGATGTCTGTGGTATGGTCGTGACTACTCTCCGTTGTCAGCTACCAACGGATGATCTCGACGCGCTTGTGACCGTAACATCCGACGAGGATCTAACGAATCTAATGGAAGAATACGATCTTGCTTCAATGACGCCGGTCAAGATCCGTGTCTTCCTTTCTCCACTAAGATCAACAACGACGTCTAAGAACTCGTCTCCTCCACTTTCAACTACGTCTTCGTCTTCTTCTAAATCATCCACTCGTTCTCGCTCTCCTCCGTCGACGACGTCGTCAGCTACGGAAACGTGTCCGAGTTGTGTAGAGAGAAGTATGCGTAACAATGGATGTTACGTTCATAGGAGTCCAAGCCAGCACCAATTCAGAAACCTAATCAACAATTGAGAATAATAATAATATAATCATTACTGTATGTATTGGCTAATTAGAAGTTTTCGCGTATTCTCTAATGGTGTGAGGATCAGTTTCCAAAAGAATGATATGTGTGGCTCTCTGTCTATTACATTTTTGGAATTTTTATGAAGATCCAATTACTATACGCCACGTGTAAAGTTAGTGATGATATTTTATTTTGCTACCTTTTCGCGCTGTATCTTTATAATGTTTCCAGATATTTTCTTGTTTTTGAATAAACCGTAATTTTTATTGAGTTTGGTTTAGTACGATTTAAGGTTAAATTGAAGCTCCAGTTGATTTTTGATCTCTCTCGTGTGTTTCTTCTGCTTCGTTTCTTTACACATCTCTGTAATCTCGATGATGATGGCTTTGATGATTATAATCCTTATATTTATAGTTGTTTTGTTATCTTTGTACTGTCTTTTTATTATCAAGTTTCGCCGCTTTAGGAGTTGAAGCTCTGCACAGTTTTGTCTCGGAACAAAAGCTTTTCATGTCGTCAACACGAAACTAGCTACTACTAGCTCAAGATTCTTGGGGGTGTTTTGTAATGGTTGTCCAATCCAATCCACCAAGGTCTTGGAAGTGGCTCGCTTTTCTTCATAATCATATCATCGGAATTTGCTTCCGGTGTGAATAACCCTTCGGCGGTTGTATGTCGGCGATTTCATCTTTGTTCACACGTGGCTTGTTGTTTAACCTTGTGCGTGTTACTGCTACACGTGTCATGGATCAGTTCCCTGCGTCTATACTCTGTCTAACACACGTTGCCTTTGTATAATTTTCTTTTTTTCTGGTATAATGGATTTGTCATCATGTGTTTTTTTTTACTCGTAGTATCTATTGTCCACTCTTTTGTATATATACTGGATTTCGAAAATAATGCATACTACGATAATATTAGTCATGTATTAGAAATTTTAAAATTATGTGACATGGAATGTAACGGAATGTTTGATTGGGGTTGGTGTTATATATGGGCCATGGAACACCAACCCATCCAACAATCTATATACAGTAAAACCTCTATACCTCTATAAATTAATATTGTTGGGACCATAGAAATCTATTAATTTATACAGATATTAAATTTATCGATAAATTAATAGTTTATAGAGAAATATTCTTAATTTGGAAAATATTTTCAAAACAATATTTAAAAGTAAGATTTAATCATGATAATTAGTATTTTATATATTCAATTACAAATAAAATAAGAATTATTATGTATTAAAAAAGAATGCTAACTATTTTTCATATAGTAAAATATTAGAAATAAAATCTAACAAGAACTAATGTGTCTATATATACATGTATTTTGAAAATTTTACCTAATTATTAATTTATAATATTGATGAAACCATATATTTACAAAGGAATTATTATCTTATTATTTTATCGAAATATGTTTAAAATTACACTGGTCCCAACTTGGGACCGGAGAAATTTATTAATTTATAGAGATTATTAATTTATCGAGTATTAATTTATAGAGGTTTTATTGTAGTACCTCTATAAATTAATACTCTATAAATTAATAAACACTATAAATTAATAAATTTTGCTGGTTCCAAGTCGGGCCAATGTAAAAATTGACCAAATTCGATAAGATAATAAGATAATATTTTTTTTGAAATTCCTATATAAAATATAGTCTCAATAATATCATAAATTAATAATCACTATATATATATATATATATATATATATGTAAATATGTTAATATATGTTTTTAGTTTTTGTAAAAATCAATTTTCTCTTAGAGTTCACTTTAATAAATAATTTTATGGTATATTTTTAAACAATAATCTTCTGATTCTATATGTGCAGGAGATTGGAGATGGTTTGAAGAACGAAGAAGATTGATATCGCTCAAGGTTTTCTTTCCATCTTCCACACAATCATCACTCAGCACAATCCAATTGTGAGAAGGAAAATTCTGTTGACTCAAGAAGATGGCTGAGACTGGTATGCAAGACATGGCTTATTATGTAAACGTTCTTGTTGGATCTTAACTAAACAAAAACAAAACACATATTCATATGGGCCTTATGTCATCTCTGCAGCCCATTACAACCAAACACAAAACCCAACTTCTTCTTGTTGACTAACATTGGTCCTCTTCTTCTTTGTCGTTGACCTCCTTTAGTCAACTTCTTCTTCTTCCTCCTTTGCCTTGCTCTATGAGCACTTCTCCTATTCTTCATTTCTTTGCTCTGTTCTTCTCACTGAAGCTTCTTCTTCTTGTAAGATAAAATCTAGGATTCACAGTTCCAACACAACTGATGAGTGTAAGGAAAAAGTAGAATAGAGTTTTTTCCTCCATATGATGAGATTATTCAAGATCGACCATAGATGCTTCCATCGGATCATTGGATACCCAAGACCATTCCACAATCTGGCTAATACACAAACCACGGAGATAGCTAGACCAGGTTTGGTCGATCCATGCTCTCACCCATGGCCCGAGTGGCTTGATTTGATGGGTATGCTAGTGAAAAAAGGTTACTTTGGAGAAAGTGTGAATAAGGAATCGAATCATATTCGTACCGCTTGTCTCAATTTCGCCCGCCATCGCTTTACTCTCGTGAGGTAATGCGATTTTGATTCACTCCGATGTTTCAATAAGCTAATTGCTCATGTCTGATCGAAGAATACATATTGCACACCAAGTGTTCGACGTAATGTTGAAACTCTTCTCTCAAGTCCTGTATTTGAGTTTTAAATTGCTAAAACACTCTCTGCAACTGGTGAGAACTCACAAGAGTTTTGTACCTTACAGATACTTGTCGAGGAAAGATATCAAAGTGATTGCTGGGTCTGGATGCCCTAGCATTGACAGGAAGGTCGTGAACTCAGGGAAGCGTTTAAGAGCTTATTTGGGCATTGATGAAGGAAATGTATGCATTCCTTACTCTTTATCATTCTCACTTTATGTTGCTTTCTTCTTTCTAGTCAGTAAGTTTAATTGTTTTTTATTTTATACAGACGCCTATTAGAGTCTGAGGATTCACTAGAAACTTGCTTAACCAAGGTTAAACATTTACTTAGTAGGTGTGTGGCTCTTGCAACTTGAGAGGGAAATGTGAAAGGGCATATGCACAAGCAAGAGAAGATGAAGGTGCTCGAACTATAGATGTCATGCGTATACTGCTAACTTACGGGCTTGATTCCATTAGCCCTTCTGTGGAGAACCGTGCCTGTCAAACCAAACTTGTTGAAGATTCTGTGAGGAAGTTGCTGAGAGAAAGTGTAGCATATGGCTTAAAAGATGTTGAATCTGCTGAGACTGAGACCGGTCAAGATGAGCTCCAGGAAAATATACAGGATAGTGATGTGAGAGACCCACGAAAAAGGCCAGGGGATTGGCATTGTACAGAGTAAGTAATCTTGCTGCATTTGTTGATAAAATTTATGATTTGATTTCCTGGAGATTAATCTTTATGGACTCTCTTTTGATATGACCATTCTTATCTGTGGCAGGTGCAAGTTTTTAAATTTTGCAAAAAACATAAGATGCTTGCGATGTGATATCTTTTCTGAGGAAAGGCTGAAACAATTGAAGGAAGAACAGAAAGATCATCTCCCACTGAAGAAAGGAGATTGGATATGCCAAACGTGAGGACATCTTTCACAGTTTTATCAGTCAGTGTCTAATCTCATTAACAACCATTTAAGATTTTTGTTTTTTCATCAATACAGATGCAATTTCCTGAACTTTTCAAGAAACACGAGATGCTTAAGATGCAATGACAAGCCTACGTCGCGTCAAATCAATCCGGGAGAGTGGGAATGCGAGTCGTGAGTCATCCTCCCTAAACCTTAAAGCTATAAAGGCTGTTTAAAGACGTTTTATATACTTCCCCCCTTGTTGGAACTCGGAAATTGATATTGTTTCTATACGTCATCAGGTGCAATTACATAAACTTTAGAAGGAACTCGATATGTTTGAAGTGTGATCACAAGAGACAAAAGGCTTCAAATGTCACTCCGGAATCAAATGCAGTTGCTGATCATCACGACGCAGTTTCAAAGAAGTGGAGTTTTGTAGAAGAAGAAGAAGAACAAGAAAAAGAAGAAGAAGAGGATGGCTTCATGGGATTTCCAGTGGAAGGAGGGAGAAGTAATGTTTCAAGGAGTGCAGAAAAGAGACAACAATGGAAGTTGGAGATGACACAGAAGCTTAGAAACAATGGGACTGAAGCGAAACAAGATGATAATGATACGAAAAACGAAACAGAATCAAGATGTTATGATAGGAGAAGAAAAGAACTTCTTGGTAACGTTAGTGATGATGGAGAGATGGATGATTGGTTTGTTCTAAAAGAAGATAGGTCGACACCTACAAGATGCTAACGCACGTTTGCGTTTGATTGGTTTTTCTTGTTGTAATTCAAATTCTACAATAGAGTAAAATACATTTTTGCCTCCAACTATGTTTTGTCTAATCTGCGTCTTACTGATTAATGTTCTGTTTTATTTATTCATCCTGAGAACACAAAATAGAGTTTGTTGGAAACCCCAACTAGAAAGTGTAAAGTCAGAAGTGAGAATAAACAAAACACAAAGGCAAGAACCACTACCACAGCACCACCACTACACATCGATTACGTACACCTCGCTGTTATGGTTGGTTGCTATTTTTTTCAATTGGCATATGTATTGTGTTAATTGGAGATTGCAGTAACATTATTATTTTACTGATGATTCTAAATTTTCTTGGAGTTTTTTATAAAGAAAATCATTATATTTTTTTTTTTGGAGTTAATAGAAATAAAATAATAAAAATACATAAAAATAGTTGGAGGTGGTGGAGAAAAAGTGGGGTTGCAAAATAACTACCGTGCGACTACGCGCACTTGACCAACTCTCTCTCCTTTTTTATTTTATTTTTCCTTTTTTGTTCTTTCCTTTAATTTTCACAATTCATATCCTTTCTGACGAACAGTAGCTGTTAGACTCTCTCTCTATCTCTATCTCTATCTCTCTCTGTTTTTCATCTTCTCTAACATACAAATCTCAGCCAAATGGGTTCAGAGGAAGAGAAGGTCGTTGGTAAGTAATATTTCTCCAATTTCGTTTCAGGGTTTATTTCGTTCGATTATTGTCTGTTTGGTTTTCGAATCTTGAGTTTAAAGTGTTGACCTTTTTTCTCAATTTTGTTGTTGTTGCTTCCCAACGTTGTAAGAGTAATGATTCTGATCATACAGATAACGATTTGATTTGGTTTTGTTTTTTGCAGTTCCGAGAAACTTTAGATTATTGGAAGAGCTAGAAAGAGGTGAGAAAGGAATTGGAGATGGGACTGTGAGCTATGGAATGGATAATGCTGATGATATTTTTATGCAATCTTGGACTGGTACCATTCTTGGTCCTCATAGTGTACGTTCCCCCCCCCCCCCCCCCCTTTCTCTATGACTCTATCTCTTTGTGGTGCTGTATAAAGTTTCAATTTTTTTTATGCTACAAAACAAGGAATTTTTCATATGTTTGTTATAACCTTAAAAGATGCAATTTTTTATATGATATAGCTAGATTGCTTTCAATGTTTCTCTTCAGTTGAGCTACTTTGTTTGTCACTATATGATCTTTATGCTGAGATCTTAGCCTTATGTAGCATTGTAACCATTTTTGGTTGATGGGGAAAGACAAATAGGGAAAATGAATTATTATATTTTGTTTACAGTTTATGGTATCTGAGTAGTGAGATTGATGTTGTTATTGTTATCAGACTGCGTATGAAGGAAAGATCTTTCAGCTGAAACTATTCTGTGGAAAGGATTATCCAGAAAGTCCACCTACTGTGAGGTTCCAGACTCGGATTAACATGGCTTGTGTCAATCCTGAGAATGGAGTGGTAAGTTGGAACAAGCAAAGTTTTTTGTGATAAGGGGATCTTGTTTTGCATGATTTTTTGTGCTGCATACATGTCCTTTTAACTAGCTGGGTTGAACCGAACGATCAGGTTGATCCAAGTCATTTCCCTATGCTTGCTAATTGGAGAAGAGAATACACAATGGAGGATTTACTCATGCAGCTTAAAAAGGAAATGATGTCGTCGCAGAACCGCAAGTTAGCTCAACCCGTGGAAGGTAACCTTCGTTTCGTTTGATGGGGATAATGTGCATTGTGTCTTGTTTTGAAACTTTTCCAGTTTTCCTCTGAGCAGAGAAACCCGTTTTGTACCTTCTCTAACAGAAACTAATTGTCTCATCAGGTCACGAGGAAGGGAGGACAGACCCAAAGGGACTAGTGGTGAAATGTTGTATTATGTGAAGGGTGCTAATGTGGAATTTGTAAGAATTAAAAGAGACAAACAGTGTATATAAACATCAATTAACTCTTTGAGATGGTCTGCCTCAGAACCTCTTCTTCTACAGGCCTTAATCCTACCAATTTGATTATGTAGTATGTAATGTTTGAGAATATATTCACCAAAACAGGTGTTCCTTTATAAACCTTCACCCTCCTTCACTTTTTTGCTTTTAGACTTTTGTGTGTGAATATCTGGCCTACTTTGAAGGACAAAGGGGTTAAAGATCGCATCAAAAGAAGAGCCTTTGCATATAACTGATAAAGCAAAACTTGGAGGTGGGCAAAGAAATGCACTTTTTCATATTGGCAGATTGATGAAAAATGTTTGTTGAAGTCATGTAACGCGTGCTACTCTTTGAGATCTTGCTACCAATTTCTAGGCAGTGTAGTAGTATGTGAATATGCAACGAGATGATGATGATTCAGAGTATTGGTTTGATTGCTAGTACAACTGGAAGTGGTTTGAGATTGAACCCTTCTGGAACACACATATAAGAACACGGTTTAAATAAATGGTTGGTTGAAACCACCTCTTACCGCCAACATAAACCTATCCTACAAACTATCAACTACAACGGTTGGTAATACAAATCCAACATTTGAAGTAATGTTAGGCGACTAAAGCTGTTCATTCACTCAAGAAAGCAAGACCAATATGTTTAATTAGTCACACCATACCATAATGAATCAAGAGTTTCTAAAACAAATTAGATTGGATTCCAAATAAACTTTACAAATTATTGCCAGTTTGAAAGTGCTTAGCTTGTCAAAAGCAAAATATTACAATGTTGTGGACTAATTAATTGTGTGTTTAAAATCTTTAAATCCATTCTTTATGAATTATGATGTTGTGATTTTTGTTTTTAGAAATAAAAGTGTAATGATTAAACTTTGGAAAAAAAGTTTTTGAAAAGGGTTTGGATTAGAATATGAAAGGGAATGTTATGGTAATGTGTAGAAGCAAAGACCTATACCAAATGTGAATGTGAAGTGGAATTGATATTAGCGTTCTCAATTTCTCATCATAATTATTAGCCTTTGGAACAAAGCTGACAAGAGAGACAATAGCATAAGGAATCCGTTTGCACTCATCTTTACGGCAATGGACCTTTTTGTTACTTCACTCTTCCAATGCGTGTGAATATTTAATACCGTTTCTTAAAGTTTCTAACCATCTTTTAAAACATTTCTTGTTTTAGACTAGTTTTAATTCAAATCGTGTCTCAGTTGTAACCACTCTTAGAAACCCCGTAATTTTCATAACACTGAAACGTACGTTGGAGAAATAGTCATTTTTTTTAGTAAAAGTCTAATTGATATCATGGTCATCAAAGCCGTTCGTTCACATTTACGCATTACTATAAGAAGAAGGTTAAAACTTCATGTACGCATTTACTATAAGAAGAAGATTGAAACTTGGAAGAAATTAAAATCAGTTTGTGTCATTGTGTGTACATGTTGTTTTGTCATAAGCCATATCCAGAGTTTTGTAATGTTTACGTTGTCTTTGATAAATATATGTGAAACTGTAAACTTTGTTTTACATGCACAACACTACGTTGAGAACCAACTCTTGTAATGTACACCTATATATGGATGATTACCACCAAATTTTTTTATAATTACTTTTAAAGACCACTACATTTTGGATAATGATTTAGATATATTAAAATTTTATTGAAATTTAAAATTTTGAAAAAGCACAACTTTAGTGTAATCAACTAAAAATTATTATTTTTCCACCCAAAAAAAACTAATAATTATTATTTCCGAGTAAAAAGAAGAATAATGTGAATGATATTGTAATTGAAATAAATGAAAAGAAAGTAATAAGCGTAAGTAACGTGGTGCGTAACAGATAGATACAAAAAAAAATAAAGTACGACGATTAGGAATATATATATATAACTCTATATTAACCGCACTAGATCGAAACGAATCTTAATCACATTGTTATCATAATACCAATACCAAATAACATAGAACAGAACTTACTTAAATATAAATAGAAGCGTGTGTTTCGCCATCCTCTTTTCACTATTTTCAGTTTTTACTTTTATTCTCTTTTTCTCTATTTCTCTCTGAGATCATGGCTTCCTCTGTTTCCACTGGTACTTTTTTTTCTTCTAACATTCATCTATTAGTAATTTATCACTCATCTGTACAATTAACTTTTCTTGTTTGATGGTTGTAGGAGTGAAATTTGTTCCGGAAGAAGACAATTTCTTGCAAAGACATGTCGCTTTTTTCGACAGGAACAAAGATGGTATCGTGTATCCTTCCGAAACATTCCAAGGTACGGTCTTATCAAAAAACTTGTCTTAACCAAAACCTCGTTATATATCTAAAACCTAGATTTGTTTGTAATAGAGAATGTGTGGCTGTTATATGATGGTCTTATCAAGATCTTTAAAAATTTGACATTTTTACTAATTTGACTGTCGGATCTTGAAAAAAAACAAGAACAGGATTTAGAGCGATCGGATGTGGATATCTGTTGTCAACAGTCGCTTCTGTGTTCATAAACTTAGGTCTCAGCAGAAAAACTCGTCCGGTAATCTTAAAAAAATATTGGTATAGTTAAAAAAGTGTAAATCTCATACGTTACAAAAGCAAAAAAGGAATAATCAAAGATGTGTGTTTGGTTGTAGGGCAAAGGATTCTCGTTCATGTTTCCTATAGAGGTTAAGAATATTCACCTTGCCAAACATGGTAGTGACTCAGGTGTTTACGACAAAGATGGACGGTACGTATGCTTTTAATTTCTCAATTAATTTATTGAAGTTTGGGAAATCTAAATTAAATGCATTTTTTTTTTTTGAAATTAGGTTTGTGGCTTCGAAGTTCGAGGAGATATTTGCGAAGCATGCACACACGCATCGCGATGCTTTGACTAACCAGGAACTTAAAGAACTCTTAAACGCAAACAAAGAACCTAATGATCGTAAAGGATGGTAAGTATCGATCGAACCGGTTTGGTTTAGTTCTTTGCTCTAAACCAAAACCTAAAACGTGATGATCATATATATGCAGGCTTGCGGCGTATACGGAGTGGAAGATATTGCATTATTTGTGCAAAGACAAGAACGGTTTGTTGCACAAAGATACAGTGAGAGCTGCCTACGATGGCTCTCTTTTCGAAAAACTCGAGCAACAACAAAGATCTTCCAAAACTTCTAAGAAACATCCATAGATAATCCTTATTTAAATAATGTTTTTCTGCTTGTGTGCGATCTATCTTATTATATAAAAAGTTAGTAATTCAATGTTGTTGTTAATTACTATGGTGTGAAGATTGCAATGTGTTTGATTTTATAAAATAATATTTTTCGTATATTTGATTATTTGTGTACATACTTGTTCAATTGTTTACTTGTTTGTATCTTATTCTAGTAGAAGTAGTGTAGATTAATTTGAACTCAAAACATAACTGAGTTTCCATGAACTTGACTAATTGTACAATCTTGTAAACCAAACCAGGTTAGTCCAATGGTTTTGGCTCAACGTTCCAAAGTGATAGTGGAATTTAGGTTTGCGCTTTAAATGTTCTTGCTGTGGCATTTGTATTCAAACCAGATTGAGAAGTGGAAACAATGAATTAAGAAGTGAAGTGATACCAGATTTAAAGGCTTTTGACTAGAGAAAAAAAAAAAACAAATAATATAGTACCTTACCTAGAATAAGTCACTTATTTATTTATGACCACCTTTGACCATCGAGGATCCCAAACAAGGAACCCCTCAACGCAAACCCCTTGACCTAATGATCGAAAAGATTGGTAAGTTATATATTGAACCGGTTAATTTCGTTTGATTCAGTTTAATTTTATATAAGCCAAAACCAAAAAGGTGAATTTTATCTTTTTGTATCACATACTCTGCGGATCCTATCTCTTTCAAAATGTCAAGTTTTAAACCACGAATGATGATACCTATATCTCCACCATAAATAGTTTCATTATCACCCATTCACCAATTTGATCATCTCCATTGCCGATAAGTAATGTATATCACTATTTTTGTGCTGACCTTCCCAATCTGCCTTCAATCTGGTCATAGTTAAATTCAGTAACCTTCTCAGTCTTGCTTGCACGATATATTCTCTTTCGTTTTGTTTTTTTTTGGGGTCTTTTACACGATAAATATACTTAGATGATGACTTATTCTAGAATGCCGTAGGCTATAACAAAACTTTTGCAACTTTGTCATTAATACCATCACATGGAAATACAATTGCACATTGAAGTGATAGATTAAAAATAAATATAACTATTTAAGCACAACATAGAGTAATGAACACTAAAAATATTCTCCTCGTAACAAAAAAATGTATGGAAGTTATCAGAGAAAGCAACGTGGTGACTGGTGAGTGATTAAGGATAGCAGTTAAAACAAATGCCCGACACATCCCACTTATTCACTCGTATTATATTCTTATAAAACCATGGAAAAGTACTAACATTATAAATAATTAGGATGTTAATGGTGACATATAAAAACATTCATAACTATGCTCAATTTTTATGTCGGTATAATTTTCTGAAAACTTTGGTTAGTTTCGATTATTTTGATAAATTTAAATAAATAAATAAATAAAATTTATAGAAACATTGCATATTATTCAGTATATATGTAGATATATATATCAGAATTTCAATATTCATACTCAATAATTATTTGATAGAGATTTTTTCTAAGTTTAAAAATACAACCATGGAAGGATAATATCAATTTCATCAATTAAATTATTAGTTATATTACTAATTATTTTTAGAATAATTTTCATATTTTATTTATTAGTATACTAGTTTATTGAGCCATTAAGTTATTTTTCTTCATTATCTAGATTATTATTAGATATTCTATATATTATTATTCATAGTTATTTGACCATATTTTCTAGTTAAATATTTAATAATTCTGTTAGATTCCGTCAAATCTCACAAATAAATTCAATTAGATTTAGCTAACATTCAACCATTACAATTTATATATGTATTTATTTAATGCAAGATGTTACCCTAAAAAAAAAACTTTCTTAATTTTGCAATTTATTCATTTAGCTGTTACTATTTACCTTATATATATTAATATTACATTGGCATCATACCGAATCAAAATCTTAATCTCATTATCATATAAAATAAACAGAACAATGAACAGTCAAATCTCTAAATATAAAAGATGCTTGTGTTGCCTTCTCTTCTCACTATTTTCATTTGCTTCCTCTCTCAACCAGTTTTCTCTCCTCTCACCCTCCTCCTCTCAGACCATGGCTTCTTCTAATTCAGATGGTACTCTTTTTTTTTCTTTCCCAACATTCAAATTTGTAGTTATGTTTCTTTACCGTTAGATCCATCTTAAAACGTTTTTGTCTTTTGTTGTTTGTAGGAGTGAAATTTGTTCCGGAAGAAGGTAATTTCTTGCAGAAACATGTCTCCTTCTTCGACAGAAACAAAGATGGCATCATTTATCCCTCGGAGACATTTCAAGGTACGATCTTACAAACTACCAACGAAAATGTCCATATCAGTAGTCTTGTGTTAATTATATCTCTAAAACAAGATTTGTATTAGAGATCTCTTGTCTTTGTGTGTGTTGTGCTATATATGGTCTTATTTTTTAATAAAAAGACGAAGATCTTGTATATTTTCACTAACCTTATTGTTTGTTTTAAGCAGGATTTAGAGCAATCGGATGTGGATATGCGCTGTCAACATTTGCTTCTGTGTTCATAAACATGGCTCTCAGCAGCCAAACTCGTCCGGTAAATATTATTATAGTAAAAAAAAAAAAAATTATATATGTTACGATTTACGAAAAGAAGAAAGAAAGAAAAAGAATCAATGATGTTGTGTTTGGTTACAGGGGAAAGGGTTCTCGTTATCATTTCCGATAGAGGTTAAGAACATCCACCTTGCCAAACATGGAAGCGATTCAGGCGTTTACGACAAGGATGGACGGTACGGTATCTTTCTTGTTTTATAATTTGCTTGTTAAACTATAGTATATATATACTTTTTGCTATAGACTTATAGTTAATAGTACAATATATTTCTTGTTTTCTTAAAACAATTATTGAAGATTCGTTGCTTCCAAGTTCGAGGAGATATTTACGAAGCATGCTCACACACATAGCGATGCTTTGACCAAGGAGGAACTCAAACAACTCCTTAACGCAAACAAAGAACCAAATGATCGTATGGGAGGGTAATTATCATCCAAACCCAAGTTTGGTTTTAGTTTTAGTTTTATATACCAAAAATATGAATCTGGATTCATTTATATATGTGAAATAAAAATGGCAGGCTTGCAGCGTATGCGGAGTGGACGGTATTGTATGATTTGTGCAAAGACAAGAATGGTTTGCTACAGAAAGAGACAGTGAGAGCCGTCTATGATGGTTCTCTTTTCGAGAAACTCGAGCAACAACAAAAATCTTCTTCCAAAACTCCTAAGATACATCCATAAACCCCAATTTAAATTCATTGTTATTCCTTCTCGTTAATGAATCTGTTTGTTTAAAAAAACAAAAAAAAACTATTATCCAATCTTTATTGTTATATTAAACTATGGTATAAAGATTGATTATGATTTTTTAGGTAGAAAGAAAAAGAAAAAATTAAAGATTGATTATGAATGTGTTTGATTCTCTATAATTATTGTTTACAGTGTATTTGATTCATTTGTGACCGTACTTTTTTATATACTCTTTAATCTTATTTCAGTAAATATTATATAATTTAAATTGAAAAAAACAAAAATATCTCAGTTTAATCCTTCTACAGTGTTTCTGAAAGAAAAAGAATCACACTTTTTTAAAATTGTTTTTAGTCAGGAAAAAAAAAAGATAAAATTGAACAACGATTCTATATTTTTTGATACATTGAAAATGACCGTCGGCTACACATACATATATAGTTAGCCTTAGATTACATTAGATATTATCTCATATATGCTAAACCTAATTAAGCTCGTACACAATGTATAATATCAAAATACATTTTTAGTGACTGTAAGCTAAACCAGCTTATAAAACATTTCCGAAGTTATACAAAATGAAGATTTAAGTTTCTACTAGCCAACCCAAATTGAGAAGTGTAGCAAACGACTAGATAGAAACTAGAAATTAGAAATGATAAGTTTCGGACCAGACTAACGGGCTTGGACAAGAAAAAGAAATCGCACGCACTTATTTATTACAGGTGGACTTTGTCCCAATACAAAAAAAAATAAAGAAAGCCTATAAGATCTGTTAGTTTTGGCAACCAAGGCCCAACTCAAATATCAGATTTTTAGAAAGTTCGTACAACAAAGTCACAAACACTATTGATACAATTGGTGTCAAGAGAAAGAAAAAACACTAATGCTAAAACAAATTGGAATAATAATATAGATAAAATTACATTGTGTGAAATTTAATATAATTGGAATGATACAATATTATATTACTTTAGAATATGAAATCACGCATTAAACATAAAAATAGATAAGAAATAGTATTATATATATATATATATGCTGATTGTGGTGTCTAATCTTCGCATGTGTAATGTTACATTCTGTGTAGTTCCCTTTTTTCGTTTTCGAAAACTTTTGTTTAAAGCTAAGGGGGGGCGGTCCGTGATAGGGGCCAGGTGGGTGAGTTTAAATCTTTTTATTCCTCAAAATAATTACATGCTGACAAATTATGTCTTAATCCATAACTAATCTAGCAACTTACAGATATGCCACATTGCCACTGACTAATTTCTTTATACACTTTAAGGATATGTTGGTACAGATGGTTTCTTTATAAGATATGCTCCAGTATAATCAGATTCTTACCTGTTACAAAATGTAAACAGATCCCATCATTAATGCGTAAGAAGCGAAAAGGTATAAACAAAAAATATATATCACAATTATATTTGATCTTGCTATGAACATATATTCACGTGAAAATTGACAGACTTTGACAACAAGAAACGTAAAATTGCTATATTGGTTGTCTCTACTGATTTGATTATTTAAAGAGCTCCACAATATTACCTAGAAAGGTTTTTTTTTTAATTTCCTTATGAAATTGACGAACGAGTCAACTGAATTAGGTTAGTCTAAAATCAAGAAAATGATCAAGTGCACAACAATACACTTTTTAATTATTAATTGCAAGAAATGGACCAATGACTTATTACAAGTCAAGCACGAAATTACTCACCATACCCTATAAAAAAGAACCATGAAAGAGATGTTCGTTTCGAAATAACGACCCAATAATCGAATTGAAAAATAACCGGAAAAAAGTTTCATTATGGATTTTATTTTTCTAGTCAAGATTAGATTTATTTTATATACTATTTACCCCAACAATAAAAAAGTCTTTATATTGGGTAGGTCCATGATCGTTATTGAATGATACAACTTGTAAATATACCCCTTTTCAAACGTTATCTAGTCTTTGTTTAGCTGTTCTTTTCACTGATATCTTTTTCTCTCTTTCTTATGTTACGTTTCATTTCGGAAAGTAATATATATGATGACACCACGTAAATTACCACAACTTTCTGCTCTCAATTATATTATAGGATCTTCTAATTATTAGTATGTTATTATTTTAACTTCACAACTGATTCGAATAGCTAGATCCCTTTAGCGAGAAAATGATTACATCCTTTAATTAGTGTTACACCATTTTTCATTGTTTCATTTCGTCATTAGCAACGTTCTAGTATCATAAAGTACATGCATGTGTCTTTTTTTTTATAAACACTACACGCAATCACGCATGTTGTAATTAATTTATCAATAAAAGAAAGATGAGAGGATTGATCACAACTCGTTTCAAACACCTCAAATTATTGTACGACTATTGGACATATATATACTAGTTGATTGTTTTCCAAGTATTTCATATTTCAACAATGTTATTAATAGTCAATAAGACAATAACAATCTATAGTCAATGAAAAAGTCTACACAATAGACGGTACTGGCTTGTGTGGTCGTTTGAAGAACTACACAAAAGTAGGTCAGAGAGAAGTGTATTGTCTTCCCTATTCGCTTACCGGTCCCGTAACTGAAACTTTGACGTTGGAAGCCTAGTAAGTAGTAACCAACCTGTTGATCTCATTATATATCAAATAAAACCATGATATTTGATTATATCTCGACCAGCACGTCAAGATCCCTATCCATATAATTAGAACTCATCTTAATTAAATCATTTTCTAAGAACCACATTTGCCTATCCAAACTCTATATGCTAGCCATACTATATATATAAAAAATAAACAATTAACCATAAGCCCATAACTCGTTTTCATGACGTATAGTACTCGTCCATCACTTGGTATTATTCATATTAATTATATTGCTTTTTCTAACCAAGAAACTATCACTATGGTCTATTTATTATGAAAAAATGTATACGCACACACACATAAAGCTAGAAGCTTCTTCCTATATTCACCTTGCAAAAGATAAACTCTAGACCGAGATGACAGAATATGAAAGAAATGTTGAGAAAGACATCTTTTGGCGATTATGTAAATGTCAAAAAGCTCGTTTTGTATCAATTTCGTGGTAAATTACGCCAATTTTATACGTACGCCTTTCAACTCCTTAACAAAATCCTTCTTTATTATTGGCTTATAAGAAGAGGTGATATTATATACATATTAACTACTCATAACGGTAGAAGATAAAGAATTCACACAAGTCACTATTGAAGTCAAAATCGAATAGACGAATGCACATGAAATGAGTAAAAAACCTAAATTTAAAAATAGACTTACCATAAAGAATTTTAAATCGTAATGGACATTAAAATAGACGCACATTGCAAAATTCCACATTAATGTTCTAAACAAATCACTCTGAAACGAAGAATGATGAGTTGCATTATTTTAGGAATTTGAATAATACGGAATATATTTGCAAAATAAAGAAAGTATTGAGAACGTCCCCAACCCAACCAAAAAAAAAAAAAAAGCATGCAACATGGAACCACATATAAGAGCACCCTTCTTTACGTTAATTCTCTTTAAAGCAAGGGCAAGTCTTCTCTATACAACTTCTATTTTTACCAAATTATCTCACTTTTTTCTCTATCTCTCAAAAAAGAAGAAGGTAAACATGTCCAAGACCAAGACGACCCTTCTCAGTTTCCTTGTCACCGTCGTCATCCTAATGAATCCATCTGCCTCCAATCCCACGGACGGTTACATATACGCCGTTTGTTCTCCGGCTAAGTTCTCCCCTGGCTCCGGCTACGAGGCAAATCTAAACTCTCTCCTCTCTTCTTTTGTCAGCTCTACCGTCCAAATACGCTATGTCAACTTCACTGTTCCAAACAAAAAGCCCGAACCGGGGGTTACCGTGTACGGCCTTTACCAGTGCCGCGGCGACCTCGACCCAACTTCATGCTCGACGTGCGTATCACGCGCCAACGCACAGGTGGGAACCTTATGTTCCAACTCGTACTCCGGGTTCTTGCAGATGGACAGCTGTCTGGTCCGGTACGACAACACTTCCTTCTTTGGGGTGCAAGACAAAACGCTGAGGCTCAACAAATGTGGTCAGGCGATGGAACTCAACGACCAGGACGCGTTGACCAGAATTAGTGACGTCATCGGTTCTTTAGGTTCGGGAAGTGATTCATACAGAACCGGTGGGAACGGGGATGTTCAGGGTACGGCTCAGTGCATGGGGGATCTAAGTACAGCTCAGTGTCAGGATTGCTTGTCTGATGCAATCGGACGGCTCAAGTCTGATTGTGGCATGGCTCAGGGAGGATACGTTTACTTGTCCAAGTGTTACGCGCGTTTCAGTGTCGCTAGCTCTCACGCGCGTCAGACCCCAAACTATAATGGTCAGTCTTCGTCAATTTTGTTTAATTATTAGTAGTATAATAAAAAGTCGTAAGTATACAAATGTAACCATTATTTAGATAGCAACATCTATGGTCAAGTGCTAAAATATAAACATTATTTAATAAAAATTTTCTTTGTTAGCAGGAGAGAAAGACGATAAGGATGATGATGATAAAAGAGTTGGGAAAACATTGGCGATAATAATAGGAATGGTAACCTTAATCATTTTGCTCGTTGTGTTTCTGGCTTTTGTTGGGAAGCAATGTGGAAAATATCAAGGTATGTTTATTATAAATTGATTTTCGTGTTTGTTAGGTTCATATATAAACAAGACCTAAATTACTATGTGTATGATGCCTTTTGCAGAAGATAATTCGTGTAAATATTGAAAGGACAAAAGTGGGAAAGAGATCAACCAACAACTCGACTCGGGCCAATGCTAGTTGTATTTTTTTGTAATTTTTTTTTTATAGTTCTCCCTCATGATTTGTACCTAGTTATACTATATTAGTATTTATATATGATTATCTTATATCGATTTTTGTATAATTGTCAGACTTGTATAGGCCAAAGCGATATCTTCTTCTTTGATGTGAATGAAACATTCGATTTGGTATCTACACAAAAATAAAAGGAATCAACAAAGGTTAAAGCTTCTTGAATTGAACGTGTCGAGAATAATGGAACACAAATAAACCAGAAATATAAATATACATATAGGTTGGAGATCCAAAATTAAAATTATTTTGCTCGTCCTATTGTGTATGTCTAAACGAATATTTTCTTCTTCTTCTTCATGATTATTTATATTCTAAATATGGTCTAAATTAAGAACTCAATTGAGGACTTGGCCCGGTGTGCTTTAATCATTAAAAATGATAATTTAAAATTGTAAGCCAATTGCCAAATGGTTTTAGGACTTTGAAAGATCAACTAACGTCTAATTCTTTTTCTATATTCTTTATTTTTTTCTTCTGAAATTGCTTTATCAACCATCTTCTTCTTTTGTACATTGCTAACAAGTGACATGTATATCTGTTGGAAACTCTTGATGTATAAGAAAAAAAGAAAATATGATCATATGATATAATAATATGACTTATTGATAAGATTCAATACTTCCCCGTATTATGAAATTTGCTTACGAAGAAAACTCAAGTTACAAAAAGTCACGTAAGTTCTTAGTTTGATATCAAAATTCAAAACTCAAAAGAAAAACATTCACATGCATTGTTTACCAATCTAGTTGGACTGTATGTTTTTGTATGTTGGGCTGATAACATACTTAGAGGCCCTTAGATATGATAAGCAAAGGAAACTTTGTTGAGCCCATTGAGCAATAATTGTAAATCCAATAAGTGTGACAACACACTACGCCTCTACGGAAGAGTTTGGTCGGCTCATCATCAAATATTATTATTTGCATATACAGTAAAACCTCTATAAATTAATAATGTTGGGACCTTAGAATTTTATTAATTTATAGTGATATTAATTTATCTTAATATTTCTTATTTTATAGTGTAAATTAATAATTATTAATTTATAGTGATATTTTCACTCTTAAAGTTTTTTGAAATTATGAATTGGGACAATTTTACAAAACAAGAAGAGTTTTTAAGATTATATAAATTTTTATAGTTTAGAATTGAATTCTATATTTATGAAAAAATAACAATGAATTCAAAATATTATAAATAAATTCCTATCTATACAAAGTACATACATGATGACAAAAAAAAATACAAAGTACATACATAAATTCAAATTTATGATTAATACCTCAATTGTTATCTTTTACCATCGTATAAAACAAACAAAAATGAACATGATGCATATTTATAAATAGAAAACATTAGAAACATTTTGTTCATTTTATGGTGTTATGGAATATATTATAAGATTATAGTTTAAAAATATAATATAATTTTTTTTTATAGATATGAGGTCTAGGAGAAATTCAGTTTTAGAAAAAAACTAAAAGCATATTTCAACATAACTACTTATATCACATATATTTATATGTATATACATAGTGATTATTAATTTATGATATTATTGGGACTATATTTACATAGGGATTTCAAAAAAACTTATTATCTTATTATCTTATCGAATTTGGTTAACTTTTACATTGGCCCGACTTGGGACTAGCAATATTTATTAATTTATAGTGTTTATTAATTTATAGAGTATTAATTTATAGAGGTTTTACTGTATATGATAAATCCTTTTCGAAGAAAAATGAAAGTGATAAATACCAAACAGTTACTCCCATAAGAAGAAGCAAAGCAAACCACACACCTTTTACATGTGTTGAGTTGAGTTTACGAAGAAAATATCCAAATCCAATAGCCCCAAACTAATTACCTCTTTTTATTTTTAATTAAAAAGAAATTGAAATAGAACACATGCACTTAGCCACCGACAGATGTCTAAGTGTATATGGTCCGCAGAAACGCAAAAAGATCAAAGAAAATAAACACGTGAGAATTAACCAGTTTAACCGGTAACACCAACCGTTAGTTCCCGGTATTAAAAAAAAGCACCCACATGCTATTAAAACTTATTAGCCTTCTCTCTCTCTCCAAAAGTGTGTGTCTGCAACATTTACCCAAAACGAAACCTTCCTTTGTGGATTCGCAATTCTCCACTTTTTTTCTTTCTTCTCTTTTCTTTTTCTTTGAATTGAATGTTTTGAGCACAAAACAGATAGAAACAGAGAAGAGACGTAATTTGAGTTTTGTCTATTGATTTTTTTTGCAATGGAAAGAGATTTTCTGGGTTTGAGCGACAAGCAGTATCTGAGTTGTAATAACGTTAAGCGTGAGGGTAACAACGATGATGTTGTCGGAGAACGAGGTTTGTGTTCTTCTTGTCTCCCTCGAGCATCTTTTTATTATTTTATTTTTAAATGTTGTCCCAAAAAAAGTGACAAGAATCTTGAATAAAAATCAAGATTCCATTAAATCTTGAATTAAAAAGTGAGAATCAATTTCTTCCATATCTATAAAACCTTTTTTTGTTATATATTTTAGGATTGAATAAGAAGGCAGCAGGACAACAATTAGGGAAGGCAAAGCTCTTTGCTACTTCAAATTTCATGCCTGCTTCAGATTTTCAGGTTTGGTTCAACTTACTATTACAATTTAGTATATTAGGTTCGCAAGTCTTTTAAATCCTTTGTTGTTTATTAGGTAAATCTAATAGTTCCCATATGCTAATCATAAGTTGCCATTTAAGCAAATTCAAGAAGTTGTGTTATGTGGCCAATCATTTTACCAGAATTTTTTTTTATAAAGTTTTTGTTGATAAGTGCGAGTTAAGGAGCTTGTAGGGTCTGTTTGCCAGCCGCAAAGTTAGGGAAAAAAAATAATAATTTAAATTTGTGGCGTTTGGTGATTGCGCGTTTGGATCATGTTTATATATTTGCGCCACATGTTAAAGATGTTGACGTCGCAGGAGTCTAAGGCGTTTCCTGGTGCACCATACCAGTGGGGATCAGTTTACCGCAGAGGCCAATTTGGCGGTGCGTTTCATAACGCGACGCCACTTTTACTAGGCGGATCAGTTCCTATACCAACTCTTCCTTCCCTTGCGCCACGGTAATTTCTATTGTTTTGATGCTTAAGAATTCATTCTACAAAGTGATTCCAATATTTTTCATATTTTGATGTGCTTATGGCTCTTTGTGGAAACAGAGTGGCTTCTCCGGGATCATCTCCTCAGCTCACTATCTTCTATGCCGGAACTGTTAGCGTCTTTAATGACATATCTCCTGATAAGGTATATATATAATCAAGATTTCATATGATTGACATTTTTACGCATGAATGACATGTTCTAATAATGATGATTTGTGAGTTTAGGCTCAAGCCATCATGTTATGTGCTGGGAACGGTTTTAAAGGTGAAACTGGAGAGAGCAGCTTGAAGAAGCAACAACCCGTTCGAGAAGTTGAGAGAGTGTATGGAAAACAAATCCATAACACTGCTGCTGCTGCAGCATCATCAAGCTCTGGTACTCATACTGATACTTACTCAAGATGTAGAGACAACCCTGTTGCTACAACTAATGCAATGAACATGATCGAATCATTCAATGCAGCTCCCGGTAACATGATTCCTTCAGGTATTAATCTAAACCATCTATATCAAACCAATTGTTATTCAAGATTTTCACACCACCTTAGAATTTGTCTAAACACACAAAATTTACTCTCTTTTTTTCAGTTCCTCAAGCTCGGAAAGCATCTTTGGCTCGGTTCTTGGAGAAGCGCAAAGAGAGGTATGATGTATTCGTAATTTCTTTCATAAGAAGTCGAGTTTTGCAATTGAATCTAAACGAATTTTTCTTGTGTTGGTGCAGGCTCATGAGTGCAATGCCATACAAGAAGATGCTTCTTGATTTGTCAACCGGAGAATCCAGTGGAATGAACTACTCTTCTACCTCACCTACCTAAACATCTCTTCTTCTTCTTCTTTTTTCCTTTATTTTTTCTTTATATTTGTTTTTAAGATGGTAATTTGTTATTTTAATCATTAGATTATATAGCGTACGAGGGCGAGAAAGAAGGCGTTAGGGCGTCTCTGTATTTTGATCATTGTTTGTATAATGGCTTTGGTCTGTTATAGTAGGAAGGATTATTACACTATACAACATTAAGCACTAACAGATACATGTTTGTCATGTCTGTCAAGAACTTTAAAGATCGAATAATATTTCACTATTTCTGATCACAACTAGTTACATATATGATTTATACGAAAATATTTGATACATTAAGAAATTCGTGTCGTGAGCTTAAAGACTAACTAACAAGTAACAACTAAAAGAAAGAAGTTGAACGCGTTGAATGGTAGACAAATGATCGTAGGAAAGAAATAAGGGTGGTGAAGGAGATGCTCTCTCATAAGAAAAGTTTGGTGAGGATGACCAAACAAACAAACAAACAAAAAGAAAGCTTATTGTAAACCTATGAAATTGTAAAATTGAATCACAAAAAACACGTTCATATTATTATGAGTGGATAAGAACGAACGATCCTCGTCTTATCAATTTTTGCAATATCGTCTTCTTGGATAGTAGAGATACACACATTTACTCTTTGTTGTCCTTTCATGCCCCCACCAAGTTGTGCAATTTGAACTACCACTCACACATTTCAAAAGTACAATGTTGGGGCTAATTTTGGTCCGTTTGTGATTTGTTTTCATGGAACTGATTTGATCTTTATCATTCCCAACGCTCATCACTCATTTCTCCATTCAGACCACTCTGCTTCATTCTACTTTCTTTTTTATTTATTTATTTGTCTGTGTGATAAACAGTTTTGTGTAGTCTTATTTTTTCATGAACCTTCATTGCTCAAGTTTTTTGTTGGTGACATTTTTGATTGAAATGGTGGCCCAAAAAATGAGCGATTTAACTAACGTTGTTTATTTTGTTTTTCTGGAAACATAGCTTTCCATTTTTTCTTTTAATTATCTTTTTTTTTTTTTTGGTTTGTCAAAGGTTGTTCGTCCATGAACCCAAAATATAAACCAAACTTTGTATTATCTCTTAAGGTTTGTTTCATTGTCTGTGTGAACATAGGAGATACTTGTCATATTTTATGGTTTTTGTCGTGGAAATGTCTTGTTCTTCAACACAAAGACAAGGACATGGATATTTGCGATCAACATTTTTTACATAAATCATTTGCGAAAGCGTTGTAGTTTACATTTTTGAGATAAACGACCCTAAATTAATATGTTCTTCCTTTCAGGGTTTGTGGTTCCTAAAGGCAAAAGATATATATATGTATCTTTTTTTTTGGTAAAAGAAATATGTATCAATCATTCATTGTTATAAGTTATAATCATAATGTATATATCAAACCATTGGCAAAAAAAAACGAAAAAGAAAAGAAGATATATGTATCAATCATCCATTGGTTGTATAATCATACAAATGATAGGTCTATAATCGAACATCTCATTTTTAAAACCTTTAGCAAAAAAAAAAATGTAACATCACTTATCAAAAGAAGACAGACATTTTAGGAAGCATCAGAACCGATCACTTTAATACACACACACACACACACAAAAAAAAGAAAAAAAAATCGGAGCCGATTATGAAATAAATATCTTGATAGTTGATACGTCAGAAGAACAGAAACTAATGTACAATTTAATAATATATCTGTCAAGTTTGAAAAGACCAAAAGGTTTTGCAGATATTGCTATTTCCCGAAAATTAAAAGCCCAAACGGTTTCATTCCACACTTATTCTCCTTTAGGCCTTCTGTGGCCCAATAGTTTTAGATATATGCCTCAGTTGAAAAAAAAACAAGCATTCTAAAAAGTCACCATGGAAACAAAAATGTGGGCTTCTATATTAGTACATTACGGCCTTGAAGAGAGTAACGTGAGACCTTGTCCATATGCCAAGAGACTGAGTAAGAGTAACATATGAGCCAAATCTGATTTCAACGATGCATTAGGGAACTAGCAAGAGTAAAGAGAACCATAGATAACTTTAGGGAGCTAGCAACGTAAATTCTTTAGGTGTTTAGTAAAGAGAACACCATAGACAATTTAACGTTTTCAAATGTTTAAGTATTTGGTACAGCCTAGGTTCGATGATCATATCAACTTTTCTACTAACTCTCTATTCACTGGTCGTGTAGACTGTAGATGCATAAAAGTAGTAACTACGAAGATAAGTTTAAACACCGACACAACTCTTTCTCTTCTTCACTAATTACGGGCTTACAATACAATTGGTTAAGTAGTAGAAAATAAAAGAGTGGCAATAAACATTAAGTAATAAAAAAGGGGTTTAGGGTGGCCTCAAGTTTTCCAGCACACCTCTAAAGGAGAGATAGTAACTAATAAGAAGACCATCATCGCTCATCGCCAAGAAGAATGGGTTGAGAAGTAACCGAGAAGGCCGACGAGTGGTGCGTTGATGTAAGTCGTGGGTTCAGACTGCTGAAAGTAAGGTCTCGAGTCGGGAAAAGCGTCAGTGACATTAGGTCCACCAACGACAGCACCAACAAGAAGGTTCGGGTTAGGATTTGGGCTGAGGAAATAGCGAGAGCCTTCCTTGCAACCTATATGGCTTGGATGAGCTGAAACCGAAGGAACGGAGCTGCCACGGTGGTGAATCCTACGTGGGAACTTTTGACCGTATCCAACCATGTAAGACAGTCCCATCGGGTTGTCTCCTAGAATGTAATCCACCTGTTCACATTTTGTCACAAACAACGTCAAAAACAAACGGCTATGTGTTTCACTGATCTGGTCCCCAAGAGCAACAACGGCTAATGTTACTATTTTTGTTTTGGTCTGTGAAAAATTTGGGACCATACCTGACGCTTGGCGATTTGACGGAGGAGAGATGGGGAGGCAGTTAATTCGCCACAAGGCACAACCTTTTTGGCATGGCTCAGATAATTGGAGTAAGCCAATAGGAGAAAAGATAGTGATGTTACATGCTGCATGTTACTCCCTCCAGTCTTTACTAGTAGCCCTCCTGTGTATATAAGACAAATTAAAAAAAATCAGATTACTAGTTAATTAATTTACGATAAAACATTGGAAAAAAAAAAGTGGGAGGAAAAGACAAAAGTTGAAAAAAAATCACGTGAATGTTGGAAAAGTATACTTTGATATTAGGAAAAAAATGATGGGGTTTTTTGTTTTACCTCGAGAGTATTGGACTTGAGGGTGAGAAATTCCAGGCAGTATAGAACAGATAAACCCATCTGCGTTTTGCTTGAAAGACTCAAAATACTCTGCTTTTCCCATTAGCACTTCCTGTTTTCAAAAACAACAAGACAAGAAAGAAAACACCTTTATATAAAGATCACGGTTTTGGGATATGGACAAAGCTAAATAACAAACAAAGATCAAAAGATTGGACAGAAGTTAAAAAAACAAGAGCACCATGTGAAAAACTGAGCTGATGAAAGGGGTCTTGACTCTTGACAAATCAATTTTGCGGAAGCAAATAGAGACCGTTGAGATATGACAAAACCAAAAACCCCACTTAAAGCTTTTACAGCACAATGGGAACTGGTAAGGGACATGACACTTTTATTTATTTTTCACAGTCTTTAGAGTTTTGAGCCACATGCTTTGTAACAGTGACCAAAGACTTCTTTTTACCGTCCCCACTTGACCCAATAGGCCTGATACTCTCTGATAATAATAATAATGTTGCTATATACCTTAGCTTTTAAATACTCTCTATCCAAAACCACAAATAGGAGAGCTCACTCATGTGGATACACCACATGCAAAAAAACTCATTCCAACAGGAAAGAGCACAAAAAAATCCATACTGTATACATTTCACCTACCTACATTGGATTATCAAGTTTCTATAGAATATAATATAAATCCACACTTTCTATCCATTCACTAGTCAAGTAGTCATGGATCATGGGGCCATGTGAGTCTCTGTCTTCCATTTGGTAACGTTATACTATTAAAAACTATATGATGCCAAATCTAGGAGGCATGTAGAGCATACACTGGACAAAATAAGGGGAATGTCCAATGGAGGCATGTCTTACCTTAAGATTTAGCTCCCACATCACATGACCATTTCTAATTGGCTAAAGTCCCATTATTATTCATCATGTGCAAGTTCCAATCATCCACACTCCCCTATTCTATCTTCTCTCTAATTAAAAATTATCCTACATCAGCTTTCTATATAAAACACGACCATAGCATGATCTAGGTTTTGAAAAAACTCGAAAGGTTCACACATCTAAATCTTATTAAGCCGGTTTGTTTAAGATAAAATGAAGCATATGGAAAACCAAAAAATAACTAGATAGATTGTAATGTGAACCCCACTTCCAATTATATGATCAAAAGTCGTGCCACAAAACACGTGATAACCAGACACAACCATATCTCTCTCTGTCTCTCTACCTATGTTAATTTAATTCTTATACATTAGTAGTCCCCTTGCAACCAAACAAACATAGTAAAAAAAAACCACTCTTTCCCTAATACCATACCAAATCTTTACACTCAACCAAATCAATGCGCACCAAAAACCATGAAAGTGTTGAAAATGGAGTTACCTTGGAGATTAAGACATTAATCCCAGCGTGCTTATTATCCCAACCGAACTCATTGATTGTATCTCCAGCCTTAAGAATCACCTCGTTCTTCACAATGAATTCTCTGTACGCTCGTTTCCTCGAGGCTTTGTGCAGCCACGCCGCACCCCAAAGTAACTCATCCTGCAACAAGTCAAACACCATCACCATCATCCAACGGCTGAGTACTAAAATTGGTAAAAAAATAAAATAGTAACCATAAAAAAGAAGGTTACCTGGTAACCGTTGAAATCACAGTAAAAAGGACACACCGCGTGGTAAAGACTGTTACTGTACGCGCCACGATATCTGTTAGCAAACGCGAATACCTGCTCCACGTTACATACACACAATCAACAAAACACAGATCCGTGAGACTCTGATATATATCTTCTCTACGTAAGTTTAAATCTTTTATTCAACCGTACATATACGTAAATATGAACATTACTCAAAAAAGTCAAAATGATCAAAACGAATCATAGAAATGGACCAACCATCAGCAAAAACAAAAAAAAGTACTGTTAAAATAAAAACAATTATTGTGAGAGAAAAAGAAAAGAATCTCTTCTCTCACAAGCAAAGAATAATTGATTAATTCTGATAACTAATTTAGAGAATAATAATTAAAAAATTTGCTTTAACGGCCACAGTCTTGACTATATTATCACTCTTACTTGTAATAATTAAAAAATAATAATTTTACCCAAATCAATGCAAATGGTTTAAATGTTGTTGAACCGTAACGTACCCGTGTAGCCCGGTCTAGTAAACGTCTGGAGTAAGCAGGATCGCGTTTTCTAAACACGATTGAAGCTGCGGCCAAAGCGGCAGCGGTTTCACCGGCGACGTCAGAGCCAGGGTGAGCTCTGTCGATTTTGTAAACCGTACGAAGCGTGTCCATGTCTTCAGGCCTTTCCCAGCAGTTATGATCGGAGTAAGCGTCTCCGACTTGGACGAATACGACTCCGGGAATCGCCGTCGCTTTTAGTAGGTAGTCCGTTCCCCATTTGACTGCTTTCACGGCGTTTCTTAGCTCCGGTCCCATCGTTTTGCCGAAATCTATTATACTCCATGAAAGCATCGTCGTCGTGAACGCCATCGGGAAACCGAACTTGACGTTGTCTCCGGCGTCGTAGTAACCACCGGATAAATCAACCTGAGAGAGTGAAAAAATAATTAGGGGAAAATCGAAATGTTCGTCGGAAAAACAGAGATGTTTTGAAAAATGTAGGTAAGAGTGCTTACTCCGGCGGAAGAACCGTCGCGTAAAGCAGAGTCACGGCGCCATTTGAGACGTTGATCTGGAGGGAGTTTACCGGAACGCTGACCTTCGAAGAAGAGGATGCTTTTGCGTAGAGCGTCGCGGTAATCGTGACCGGCGGAGTGAATCGGAGGAGAAAAGAGAAGAACGGCGAGCAAAATCACCGGGAAAATTAGGGATTTTCGCGCCATTTTCTTTCTTCTTTCTCTCTGTTTTTTTTGTGCTTTGTTAAGTGAGAGGACCAACGAAGGTGAGAGGGGGCACTTTATACTAGAAAAGGTCCTCTTGGATTCCAGAATTAGAGCCAATGAATAATCAACACGTGGAATTTTTTGATTGGACGTTGCTCCATGTTAGATTGGGTATGGGGGTTTGGATTCCGAGGCGAAAATGTGGCTTGACCGGGTTTGGAATAAACCGGGTGGGTAATCGGGTACGGGTTATAGGGTTTGGGGGTGGGTGATTTTAATGAGGACGGTGTGGGAAGGGAAGAGAGTGTGGTACGCCGTCGGTACGGTGAGTGTGAGAGAATCCAAAAACAAAACAAAAGTTGAAATCTGTGATATGAATTATGAAGAAAGACAAAAAAATTAAAAGTAAAGTGAGTTTTTATTTTATTTTTTTGTTTAACCATGTGAGCCACCGCCCTATTGGCAAGCGACACGTGTTGTGAGGTGATTTTGGAGTTTTGTGATTAATTTTGATATTTTGCTTTTTTAACCAAGGCATAATTACTGAAATCACTGTTGAATTTTGATTTATGTTTCCCATTAATTTAGGCTTTTTTGGACCTACAATTAGAGAAAAGATTCGTCCCGTTGATGAAACTTTCTTTTGTTTGTTTTATTACTCGATTTCAATAGCTTAGTTTGAAATAAAAAAAACTTGTGGTTGTAGTGATCATGAAACACTCTTTATAAAAACTCGATCCATGTATAGTAAACGTAATAAATATTTTAGCTAAGATCCAAAAAATTTGGTTCGATTGAAATCTGTAATCCACTTACCTCATGTGATGTGTATTTGGACAAAGACATGCATCTTTACATTTTCGTTGATTCGATCGAATGTGAAATTATTATATAATCTTTTAAAGTATATATAAAGAAAGGTTTATTGTATTTTTCTCCATAGTCATGGTCTTTTGGAAATGCCATTTTAGTTTGGTGTGTATATACATTGTTGTTGTTATATTATGATTCTAGAACACAATCAGTCACATATTTTTCTATGAGGGATAAGGAAATGGTGCTTTAAGGACTTTGTTCAAATTTTACGAACATTATATCAAAACTCATTATCGATTCAAAGACTGTTAAAAAACTTCATATGTTTTGGTTTTACGTATGATGTTGCAATTTTCCCACGTATATGTTAGTATTTATAAGATCATAAAGAGATAGACTGTGAGTTTGGTTGGTGCAATGAAAAATTAACCGATGAGGGATCTTGACATATAGATAATTATGTCCAAATTGTGAGATTTCTTTTTTCCGTTGGTAAAGTTTAATTAAGTTGTATATACTGTATATACCAAAACATAGTCATTAGTCATAATGACATATAGACAATTTTTTTGTTTATCATTAATCTGATGGAAATAAAGATAGGCTCGTGCATGGCACATGAAAATGGTAATCATTTTTTTTTTTTTTTTTTTTTTTTGCTAAACGAAAATGGTAATCATAATGTCAAAGTACTAATACAATTGCTAATAAATCCAACTAATTCATCATAATAATTAAAACGAGATGGCTGGAAATCATAGATTCATTAACATGAACTTATCATCAGTACGTATTAATCACAAAGCGACATATGTCTGAGTAATGAATGATCATCCTTTATCCAATTTATATATAATCTCTCCGCATAGTACGGTTTTATAAATGATAATTGCACCCAAAATGTAAAACACGAGAAGCCAAAAAGAAAAAACACCCTTATCCGACGCCGTTGTTGTTGGAATGATCTCTAACAATGCAACATCAATGATGATTAATACTAATGGGTACGATATGTTTATGGGGTTGACTAAACTAAACATATATAAAGCCTTAAAGGATTGTTGTTGAATAGTGCCGACGCATGTGATCTTCCTCGCTGTATCAGCCACGTAATTTTCTTTGCGAACATATTCGTTTCTTCTCGCTACAATCATGCAAAATTATTATTGCCAAAGAAAGAAATGGCTGGCTATGAAAAAGAGAAGAGAAAAAAGTAACAAGTGTTATTATGATACCCTCATGTCTTTGAATCCGCCTCTAATCTAGGCCAATTGATTTTGGTATTCTTGGAGTCATATTAGTGTGAGTAGACAAACAATGGGGTCGTCATATGATCATATCCCATGGTTTTATCTTAGCGGTAATAACTTAGGTAAATAAGTTAGAACTTTTAGAAGTATATCGTTTGTATTTTGTTTGGACCATTTGATTCAACAAGCTTACGGGAACTTAATGGCGTTTTAAGGTAAGTACATGTACGTTCCCATTCACTATCTCTAAAGTCTTTCAATGCAACATAATTATTATGCATTTGTGGTTTGTGATTACATGTTTTGGGGGAAAAGCTATAATAAAACACATGCGGACAAAAATGTACAAAGTAATGTTGTTGTAACAAATGCGGACGTGATTAGGCAGCAAACATGATGTGGTTTAAGTTAAGTGCACATCGGGTCATGCTTTGTTTATTGTTAGTTCAAGTTTTATGTAAAGGTTCTACACTAGAGTTTTACCGACGACAAAAAGATATTTCTGCCAATCAAATTGCATGCTAACAAAAATTAGTAGTTACATTTTATGACTAACATTTTTAACTATAGTTTCACTTGTTGTTATGCATTATTTATCTCGTCTGCAATGCGCATTACACACACTAATTACATTGGTCCGATTGATTCGCTTGTCTCTCATAGCGGTGTTCTGTTACTGTTTAGATCATGCATGTGTTTACACCTCTGTTTGTCATTTATGGGCTTACTACTAAAGCTACCAAACCTGACAAGGTCAAAGTTTATCTCAACTTACATTAGACAAAGGCCCATAAGTATTAGTTAGCATTCGAGCCTGGATTAGTGAATTTACAGAATAATAGTCTTTTTTATTCAGCTATATCAATTATACAACCAGAACACACATAACATTCTTTTCTTAAAATTACCCCTATTGTTTAGAATAAGGATAGATCATGCACTTGGCAATAGTGGCTCTTGCAATGACTCCGTTGAGACGAGTAGTGATGTCTCTTTTGATATGACTCTCAGGTGGATCGAATGAATCAATACAGTCGTCCACATAGTCTATGTCTAAGACCATAGCCGAATGGACCTCAAGCACTTTATCTTGGAAATCTTCCTTTGACATATTCGCAGGCTTAGGCACCAAAGACTTCATATCACCAACCGATGTATCGTGGTTTTCGGCAGTACTACTCAAACCATTTATCACCATTTGAATCTTTTGTAATGTATATTGGGAGGTTCCAGGTGGTGGTTTGAACTTCTTCAAGTAGTCCAATGTCTCGTTGATTGTTGATATCTCTAGCTCTACAGATTTTATAGCTGCACGGCCGAGGTCGCCTGCTATCTCGGCTGCCAAAGGAGACATGAACTTGGTGCAAAGACGAGGGTAGAGAGTAGGGTCTTTTGGCTCGTATACGGCGCAGTTGCTGCATACTTTTTGGATGAACTTTGTAGGGTCTGCTCCTAAGGTAAGTATTGGCCTGTAATCCACCATAGGTAGGAGGATCACAGCAAAAACAATTTGAAGATTCATTATGTAAATCAAGGTTGATCTATGGTGTGTACCTACGTGTTCAATAGTTTATATATATATGCTCTTGAGAAACTCAGAGGATTACAATTTGACTGTTTCAGTAAGTAGTAATAACATTTATAAGAAATCTTAAATTTACTTTTTAATTGAATTTTTTTAATGTTATAAATATAAGTTTTGTAAGCTATAATTAAATGCTGTAGAGAATAATAACTATAAATTAAATATATGATTTCTCACTGGAATACATTTGTCAACATTATAAAGTTTTACATTTTAAACAAAAAAAATTGAAGTTGGGCTATCACATCACCTAATTATTGATTTTTGTCCAAACAAAACTGGTTTATTTTTGTTCACTTTCTTATTTAAGAATTAAAAGTTTTCTATAATTCAAATCATAATAACTTAAGATTAAAATTGTTTGTAAATTAAGCAGCCTCCAAACTCAACCTATATTTTTTATTAAAAAAATCTCATTTTTAATTAAAGATAACATAACGGATAATAAAAGCCATATCAAAAACACTATAAATAACTCCAAAAGAAAGGCTCATAAATCCAAACTACATCACACACAATATGGTAACAATGATGATGAGACCTATTCTCTTTATTCTTCTTCTATCATCCCTTCTCCCACCAATCCTCACCGTTGATCCCCCACTCCCACCATCCGACGGCTCCGACTTCATCCGGACGTGCTGCAACACCACACTCTACCCGGACCTTTGCTTCTCAACTCTCTCATCTTTTGCTAACTCCATCCAAAACGACTCGAACCGTCTCGCACGCGTAGCCATCTCCTTCACTCTCCACAACACTATCCACCTCCTCACCTACCTCCAAAACACTTATCACCGCGACCACCCAACCCCCGTCCTCAAAGACTGCTTCGAGAATCTTAAAGACGCCGTCGACGAAATGAGAGGTTCCATGAAACAGATGAAGGAGCTTGTCTCTTCGTCTGGAGGCTCGGTCCAATCTTTTAAGTTCCAGATGAGCAATGTCAAAACTTGGCTTAGCGCAGCTCTCACTAACGAGTATACTTGTACTGACGGGTTCAAAGACGTCCATGAAGACAACTCCACCAAAGATGACGTATGCTCACGAGTCGATGCCGTCAAGAAGCTGACTAGTAATGCCCTCTCTTTAGTAAACCGCTATGCCGACGAGGCAATAATACACTAATCAATATCTTCGTCATCGTTAAGTCTTTCTTTTTCTTGAAAATATGAATTTTCATATACTTAAGATGTAAAAAAAAAAAGAAAAAAAAAAAGAAGACGTTTAAAAATGTAACTACAATAATAAATCTGAGTTTTTCCCGTCTTTGTTAATATATATTTTTGAGTTGAAACTGTTATTTGTACTTGGAATTAATTAGTTGATCAGTCTCTCCAAATAAAATAAAACGACGACAAGTGTAAAAAGAATCAGCAATTTTTTCGTTTTTCTTCAGTTCAGTTGTCGTTTTAGGATTTACTATAAGTATAGGTTTACGAGAACGTGATAAATAAATAATTGATTCTTGATTTATTGATGAATATATAAGTCGATGCATAATTGATATTGCATGCATGCGCTGTAGCTCCACTGCAGTATACTCGGTTTCAAGTATATATTGTCGGAGAGGTGTAGTACTACCATCGAACAATAAACTCAAGTATCGTTAACTTTTTAGTTTTTTCGGGAAACTGAAAACTCCAACGAAGATGAAAACAATATAACAATAACATCAAACATTAAAAATACTCATAATATGTAATAATGGCTTTTGAAGATATCATATATTTCGGTTGACGCGCTATCACTATCCAAATACTAGTAGTATAGTTTAAAGATGAGATAAACGAGGGAAGTACAATCAATCATACACAATTTTCAATATTTTTGGTATGTATTTTATTTTAAAGTATCCCACAAATACCGACAAAGAGCCAACTCAATTAGAGTTTTTTCTTTTTTCTTTTTCATGTTACGATTTACGAGTAAGAGTAACATACGAAACCAACACAGCCTAAAACGTTTCTCTCGGTCTCCGATATATTTGATTATTTACGATGTTTTGCTAAGTACAGTATGAGTGTGCATAGATGATAAACCAACTAATTAAGACCAACTAAAACACTTGGGAATTTATAGTTAAGACATGTTAATAGATCATATCATCCATTGCCTTCTTGCTAAGTTCGAATCTAAGTCTGAGAGACTATAGTCTGTTGTGTTAAAACGAGCAATTTTGGTTTATGAAAGTCCACACTTTGAACTACGTTTAACGCAATGATTACTAGTTCACGGTCTTAGATTGCGAGCCAACGAATATTCGTACCAACTCTACATTGATGTATGATATAAGAAAACGTTACGTTTTTCGATTTTCTTATAAATTAAACTTTTAGGACTCTCTTTACGTTCATGTTTAGCTGTAATTTAGGTTTTAAAAAAAAAATCATTACAAACTTATTTGTTATCAAATGATGATTTTTTTTTTTGTCATCATCAAATGATGATTTTACACTAAACACGATACTTTGAATATAGAACCAAGATAACATACCTAAAAAGGAGCATAACGTAGCTAACAATCAACATTATGGTGGAAATTGATGGTTAGCTAAATCATTTATCATTGTTGGGACAAAAGCCTAGTACAAGACAACAAATACGGAAAAAGGACAAAGCAAGAATGCTTAAACTGGGAGGAGTGTTTGTATGGTAATGATACCTTTCTTGTCTTTTGGATTTAAAAACCAAATTATTCAGAACCCGTGAAGTCGTGAACCATGACTAGTGCTTTCTTTCCTTTTTAAATTCCAACAAAGACTTTATGCAAAACTAATAAGTTAACACACACCTCATGTGCTACTAATCTCATGTTGCTTTCACCATCACATTAATTTCGATGGTCGTCAACAGCCGGAAAAGACCTTTGGCATAAATTACTAATGTGTAATTGTCAGTAAGATTTTGGTGGTCAAGTTCACAAGATAGTTAATAAAGCATTTGTCTTCTGGCTTTGCCATCACAATCTCAAGGGTCCATTATCTATTTCTGTAGACCACAGGTATTAGGTATAAGTTATTGTTGGATAGCTTTTTTTCCTCTTGCTACCATCTGGCACACATGCTCCGATGTTGTGACATTTTTCTTTTTGTATTTTCCATTAACATATATGTATAGAAATTATAATTTTGTAAGATAACATGTGTCATTCGAGTAGTTAACAAGAAAAAGCAGAACCCAAATTTAAAAGAATTGAAGAAGTTGGAATAAGAGAGTATTGTATTAGAGACGGCATCGTCTGCAAGCTGTGTCTTATGTAATGACGGTTGGGGATGATCGCCCGGTGAACTCTTGCATTTTCGACAGCTTCAAAGCCACATCAACCTGCGAATAATCAGAAACCAATGACACTGTTTAGCATTTAAAGTTAACAAACATATGACAAAGATTGATAAGGATTTGTATCTGACCAGAGGAGCGAGAGCATCCTGAGAATCTCGGCTAATCTTTGAGGCGTCCTTCTCATACTGTTCAATGTAGAGCCTTATTGTCGCTCCTTCTGAGCCGGTTCCGGAGAGACGAAACACCTTCAATGGACAAGAGAAACAGACCCGGATTAGCTTCTACTACACCAAGTTCTTGATTCTATGTTATGAGTTCATTTTAGACATATCAACTTACAAGTCGTGATCCATCCTCAAACAAGTATCGGATTCCTTGGTGCTTAGAAACAGAGCCATCTACTGGATCTTTGTACTCGAATTCATCTGCGCTTGCAACATTTGCTACCTCTGGGTGAATTCCCTTTATGATACTGACCAATTATCCAAGAACGTGAGTCTGAAAATCATTCAGATATAAAAATAGAATGGATTTGAAAAGAAGTGGCGAGAGATACTTGTTGACTTCAGGAAGTGAAGATTGCAACTTAACTAAGAGTCCCATGAGTTCTTTAGCTGCAGCTGCGTCTACGTTCTTTATGGGAAATATATAGAAATTGGTTATAGGTAGTTCTGTTTATTCTACATATTGTCCATAATCCAATAGTGAAATTCATCAGTTTTACCTCATAGTCGTATCGAGTGTAATAGTGACGGCCATAAGTAGCCCAGTGCTGGCGGACGATGTCTTCAACTCTCACCAGATTCGCATTCCCATCAAGGGTTTCCTTGTTCTTGTGAGCCAGAATTGACAGCCAAGCAAGAACTGCCCAGATCCCATCTTTCTCACGGATATGATCCGAACCTGTGGAAATGCTTCTTTGTGAGCTGCGTAGGGTTATTACGGTTTTAAAACACGTGAAGATCTTAGCAACAGAAGCTCACCGGTTCCAAAACTTTCTTCTCCGCACACAGAGCACATCCCAGCATCCATTAGATTGCCAAAAAATTTCCAGCCAGTTGGAACCTGGAATATAGATGTATTAGAGGAAAAGACTAAGTTACGCAGTTGCAAGGAATTAAGCTGCACAATGGCATCTACCTCAAAGAACTTCAAACCCAAGTTTTTTGCAACGACATCAAGGGCAGCTGAGGTTGGCATGCTCCTGAAACACGAATATGAAAAGTTAATTATTTTTTAAGAAAATATTGTACTATATATATAACAAAGAGAAATGTATGACACCAAAGTCCAGTTTTTTCAATCTATGACCCGGAACAAACAAAAAAAGAACCTGATGCATACCTTGCCACACCTTTCAAACCAGAGCTGAAGTATGGTATGGCTCCTACAGCATTTGCAGCAATTATGGCAACAGAATCCGAAGGAGTTACAAAAAACCTGAGGAGAAGAGATATTTTTAACTGAAGATTATTTCCTCTCCACATCTCTGTGCTCTCACTTAAAAGCGCATTAGTCTGATACCTTTTGCCAAGTATCATGTTTCTGTCTGCATCACCATCAGCAGCGGCGCCAAACTCTGGAGGCTCGACTCCAGAATCATCAGTTTGACTCAATCCCATCCTTGCCACGAGCTCCTTAGCATAGGTAAGATTGGGATCAGGATGACCTCCTCCAAAGTCCTCCTGTACATGGTGTGTTGTGATAAAATCATATAAGACACATATAATCCTTTAAGGGAAAAATATTTTCTGGTTAGACAAAAATGATACCTTGGGTACGCAGTTCAACAATGAACTTTCTTGTGCACCTAGCTCTTCGACAAAGATACGGTGTGCATAGGCTCCAGCCACTCCATGCAATGCATCATAGCTTCATAGAATGATGGAAAATAAAGCATTAAAGACATAGAGAAGCCTATTCAGGCAAACAAACTCAAAAGGAAACGTTTATGGAAGTCGATGAACTACATACCAGAACGTAAATTTAGGAGACGATAGCAACTTCTTGATGGACTCAAAGTCGAAGATTGACCTGAAGAGATCAGAAAATATTTTAGATCAGCGAGAGCGCAGATTCTGTAACCATTCTTTTCTATACATAGACCAGGAGTAGATTCATGAATTGTTCTCTCGATAGAAAGATGGAAATACTTACTTCATTAGTTTAACATAGTCATCTGCAGAATCAAAAACTTCGACGTCAAACTTTCCTTCAGGTCCCTCAAAGCTGGTTATACCAATAGTAGAAATATCAACCTGTTGCATTCAATTAGCCAAAAAGCATTATTAGTAAAATACAAGCTGAAAAAAGATGATGACAAATCTGAGAATCACTCAGAAACGTTAGATACCCTGGGTAGGTCTTCTGCTATTGGGTACTCCGTGATTGTCTTTGTGTTCTCGTAAATCTTATCAGTGATTGATTCAGGAGCTGGTCCACCATTTTCCATGTTGTATTTAATTCCAAAATCCTGTGAATAGAATAGCAGTAAAACAGAATATGGTATCAGAGAGACAAACTCATAGTTTACTAACTGCTGCAAGGATTCAAAGAATACTAAGTGAGTGTATCAAAGGAACAAGCACAAAAAGAGTGAGAACAAGAACAGAACTGACCTCAGTTGGGCCACCAGGATTATGACTTGCTGTTAATATAAATGCTCCTGTGGCTTTAGATCCCTGAAATTGGAGACTCGAGTTAATTTCTCATCACGTCATTACATGTCACAAACATGCACAGCCTTAGGCCTTAGAAAACAACCCAAGAGAAAAGTAAATAGTATGAGTATAGAGGAAAATATCTCACATCAGCCCCTACTCTTTCACGAATGATAGCTGACACAGCAGGAGTTGATAGCAGACTGTTTTGACCAACCCACACACGTCTAACACCATTAGCTGCTGCCATCTTAACTATTATCTGTCCAGGTAGGAAACAAAGTTGTATAAACAGCTAAAAAAAAATGATCATGAAAAAAAAAACTTCATCTATCTCATATTCGCAGCAGGTCAATCAATGTTAGCCAAACGAACTTGAAAATAGTGAAACAGAACTATTGTCAGTAACGAAATGTTGAGATCATCTTCAAAGACAAATGTAATCAAATGCATAAGCACCAATTCCTTATGATATGTAAATGTAAGCAGTGGAATAATATCTGGTTACCTACACACATCCATCAGTGACAACAAATATTATATTGTAACAGATTTGATCATTTAAAACTGATGCGCAAATATGAGATGCAACAAATAAGTAAGTGTCTGAGTATATAATTATACTCTTACTTTTATGTTAGTGAGTGGTAAAGCTTTTTTACCTGAATAGCTTGCTCTGAATAATAGCGACCATCACCAGAAACCACAAGTGTGGCACCTGCTCAAGTTCACAAACACACCTGCTTAGGAAAATTTATACAAACAATAAATAATGAAGGGTAAGATAGATCTTTACCTTTCACTTTCTCAGGAGTAAGAGCAATGAAAGTCGCCTGAACAAAATTTTCTAAGTAATTCGGTTGCTTGAACACTTTCACCTGTCAAATTAGACCAAACCATAAGATCCATCAGAGATAATTGAATGTAGCAGTCCAAATGCGTCACTACGTTGCCACATACGAAACAATGCGTCAAATTCAAATCTCACCGTATCGGATCAAATTGTGAAACTAACTCACAAAAACAACTACAGTACCTAAGATCTAAAAACCTTCGTTACGATCAGAATCATAACAAAAGCAGGTAACTCCAATTTTGAAAGATCGATAAACAAGAGGAAACAAACGAGACGAACCTTCTTACGGAGTCCAGAAGTTCCAGGTTTCTGGCCATCAATAGGCGACGTGGAGACGACAGAGACCTTGAATGAAACCATTTCAAATCTGCACAGAATCGAGCAAGCTTGAAGGTGAAGGAGGAAGAAGATGATGAAAGCCTTTTACACAGGAAGGAGAGTAGTATGAAGAGCAAGAGGCTACACGAGAAGGTGACGCGTGTGGCTCCTCTCTTTTTGTCTTTTACTGGACCTAGCTTTACCCAAAACGTTATTTTTTGGGGTTAAATTCCTAAAATTACAACACTTTTTTTTACAGTTAATATTTTTAACTGTTATCATTCAGTCTCAAAATACATAATTGTTTTACACTTTACAATTTCATAAAAACTGTTGACAAAAAAAAAAAAAACTGAAAAAGAAAATAACTTTATAAAATAAAATAAAAGAAGTAACAGGAATATGCATTTTATATAATATAAATAGTACGAACGAGGCATAGAATGTGGGCTTTAAAAATGGGACAAATGATTTTATTATAATGTACAAATGTAACAAATGAATAAAATATTTTGTTTTCCTAGTAATATGATAAATCATACTACAAAGCTAAATCACTACCATAGTCAAAAATAATATAATTTACTTTATCAAAAAAACGAAAAATGAAGGATATATATTATATGCAGCTCGCTATATACACAATGGACTTCAGTAACTCATATGTCTTTTTCCATTAGGATCTGAGCTAGAGCTCTGACCAGCACTTCTAATGGCATGAGTCCGTGTCGAAGTTCTTGAAGATGCAGGGGTACCTTTACCACCGGTTCCGGTGTTTGTGTTCAGGTTCGAACCGAAAGAATCTGTACTTGAACCAGTGGTCGACGTTGTTGTTCCAAGTGATGCTGTTCCTGAAGGACGACGATGCGTCCGACGGCGGTATCTAGATCCCGGGACACCGGGGTGCTCTGGTTCTTCTAGATGTCCAGGTTTTCTCGAGAGAAGTAGAGATATTCGTCTCATGGTTGGTCTTTGATGAGGATCACCTTGAACGCATAGCAGACCGATCTGTACGCAGAGTTTGACTTGGTCTGGCTCAGCTGAAACTAGTATGTCAGGGTCTAGTATCTCCATGGTCCTGCCTTTCTTGTATAGTTTATATGCCTGTGTCACAATCAACAAGTCTTTTAGTATCTATTATATTATGGTGGACAACAAGTATGTGAGGTTCACAAGATGACGCTATTTAAAATTTGAGAAATCAGAGCTAGTCTGTCCGGCTCATTTTGAGTCTAAAACCGTGATAGGCCAGACGTGCCAGGTTCTAAATCACCGCGGCTCAAAATACAGGGTAGTGGTTTAAAAAACTGGCTGGGTCAGGCCATCACAACAACTCTATATACAATGGAGCTTGAGACTAGAGGCCTTACCCATTCAAGAAGAGTCTGGTCAGGGTGTCTCATACTAAAACTCGAGTTCTTCTGTCCACTTATAAGTTCCAAAACCAAAACCCCAAAGCTGAATACGTCTGCCTTAACTGACAGAACCCCGTGCATTACATACTCTGGCGCCATATAACCACTAGGAATAAGAAAAAAATAGAGAATAAGTAGTGAACGTTAGTTAATTAACATTCTACCACAAAACACCAACAAACAAAATTTAGTGTAAAATGAGCATTTGAAGTGTTTAACAATACATACTTGGTTCCTGCGATTCGAGTGTTGACATGTGTTACATCTTCCTGATAGAGTCTGGCCATCCCAAAATCTGCAATCTTAGGAACCCATTTTTCATCCAGCAAAATGTTGCCAGCCTTAATGTCCCTGTGGATGATACAGTTCGGAGCGTCTTCATGGAGATAGAGTAGTCCTCGAGCAATGCCTGTTATGATCTCAAGCCTCTGCTTCCAATCTATCTCAGATTTTCTATTGGATTCTGCATTCAAATAGATCAATCAATACATGTCAGAAACGCCTTCTTACATTATCATTCATACTTTATCATCCTAATGTACAATCTCAAAGTCTAATACAGCAGCAGCAACAATGAGAAGATGACTTACTGAAGAGGACCTTGTCGAGGCTCTCATTTACGACGTATTCATATACCAAGAGTTTATCATCTCCGTGTGTACAGTAACCCCAAAGATTAACAACATTGCGGTGCTGGACTTTAGCCAACAACTTGGCCTCGTTCACAAACTCGTTTTTGCCTTGCCTTGAAGCTTGAGCTAGCCTCTTCACTGCTATGTCTCTCCCGTCAGTTAATCTTCCCTATTACACAACAATCAACCTCATCAGCCATGAAAACATACACAATACACTTGTCTAATCATCTACAACCGTAAAAAAGGAAACTTTGAGATCTGGGCATGTCAAAAATTGAGATTACCTTGTAGACGGGTCCAAATCCACCTTCACCAAGTTTATGGGTCGGGTGAAAATCTTTGGTAGCGGAAACTAAAACTTGAAATGAGAAAACTTTCTGCTCCAAAGCAGCGATTCGCTCAATATCATCTTCAAGACCTTTAAGTCAACGAAGAAGAGATGAGTCAAATTTTACACAAACCCAATTCTTGAAACAAATCAAGAAACTTGAAAATCAAAAACGAGATCTTACCTCGATTGGAGCTGCGTTTGAAAGGTTTGATAATATTCTGAAAGAAATTCATGGACTTTGTCAAGCCCGAGTTGCTCTTTTGAGAATGATTAGTGACCATCCCATGTAAAAAGCAACAACAGAGTGATTTAGGGGTTTAATCGGAAGACAATTAAACAAAGTAGAAGCTGATTTTGATTGAGCGGCGTTTAGATTGCGTTATGTTTCAGGTGACGTCTCAGATTGTGATTTAGAGAGATGGGTTGAGGAAGAAGAAGAAGAAGAGAGTTTGTGATTGTCTTTGATTTTTTTTTTTTTTTTTTTAAGAAAAGAAAGAACTTGAGATGAAGAGATTCAAGGGAGGATCACATTAGAGAATAGAGACAAAAGTCAATACGACTTCGTGTTTTTTGTTTTGTTTTTTTTAAGATTTGGGCACAACAATAAATAAAAGTCTTTCTATTACCTTTTTTTCAACCAAATTCCCATTTTTTAAATACTATTTTAAGGGTTTATTGGAGAATTAGTATGTAGTTATGATATTTCAGATTTTGTGGTCTTTTATAATTTGTTTATTGGAGAACTAGTCAATTAGAGCATGGTTAAACTCTTATTTCATTTAATCATGTAGTAACCAAATTTATTATAATATACAGCATATATAGAACGTTTTAAAAGTTTCAATTTTGTCACTAACTCAAAATAAAATTTCACTATATTAATTAACTAATTTTCTCAATATAATGATTTCTTTTTCGCGCTGCAAATTTATTTGGCAGAAACAAAAACGTGCAAACCTCATAGAATTTTAATGAAAAATATTTTATTTCAGTGGCAGACAAAAACAATAGAGCAATTATCAAGTTAAGCCAGACTAAATGAAAAAAAAAAAGAGTAGTATGAAATAAATCATATGATTCAAATATGGTTTAAAATTTTGCACAAGTGTTTGGAAAACATATGATTCTTATATTTTAAATATTTGAATTACCGTATAACTACTCCCTTACGATTTATGCACTTTAACAAATAGATAATGCGATTTATTTCATACTACTCTTTTTTTTTTATATAACAAATATGATAATGTGATAAACTATGACATCAGAAAGCATGACGTTGATGAGAAAAGGTTGACACATACAACTTGGCCATAAAGTAGTAACCTTTCACGAAAGTGTGAAGGAAGACGCGTTCCTTTGACTTGGTTCGTCCCGTCAAGCTTTGGTCCCCTTCTTCTCCCTTCTCTCTTCTTGACTTAATTAACTTTTTTTAAAGCAGAAATTAAACACGAGCCCTACCAACTCTTTATTTTTGATTAACGCACCACAATAACCTTTCACTAGCTCATTCACTTATATATTCTGATAATTTGTGTATTGTATATCTTAAAGTATACAAAATTTGTGAGGTAGAGTCTTCTCTCCCTGGAATAAGTTTTATCTTCCAAGGTAAATTGTGAAGTTTATTTTACAAGTTTAGAGGTAATATAGACGTGCGGTAGTACCCTAGCAAGACGCAAGTAATGCTCTCTAAGTTGTCTTACAATCCCGTAACAGTCATTCTAGATTCGTAATCCATCGGTGTGTTCCTCTATATTGAAAATAAATTTGGTCAATGGAAGAAAAAAAGAGAGGAAAACCAAAACAAACAACTCTTTTTCTTTCTAAGGATGTTCAGTATCCATCCACCGAAAGAAGTTGTGTAACAATATGTCAATGAGACCATTAAATATTACTTACAATTTACGCTGTATTTTACATCACATGTCTCTCTCTCTCTACGCTGCAACAACAACAAACCACATGTTATTAAACAAGTTCGACTGTGATATTCCTACGTACTACATGAGTTACATATGATCCAGATATATATTATTAATTAGTTTTATATTTTGGTATAACTAAAATTAAAGGAAAACGTATATATGTTTTTCGATTTATATTTTTTGGATGTATGTGATTCGGTCCAAAACTTCTTATTTATTTAAAAGAAAAAAAAAATTAAAATGAAGATTTTAGCGGTTCTATCATGTTATGCGTATGAGAACTTTGTCTTTGGTGATTATTCTAGAATGGTATTGGTTTTTTTCTGGCTGGAATGTTAAAATTCTTAGTAGCCAGCATGATCAGAGAGAGAGAGAGGTCACAATCTATGTGAACATGATCAATAGACTTTTTAGAAACTCACAATAATACTATAAACTCAGTTTTACTCGGTCGGAGGTTTGACAACAACTTATGATTTAGAAAGTAGTAAGAATCATTGAATCTTTATACATTCGAAATGGTTACATTGAATTGAGACTTTTTTTTAACAGTTTTGCTCTGCCATAAAATAAATTAAAACGTTACTATCATTTAGCCAAAGTTTTCAACCAAAACTAAATTATTCTGTTTTGTTTTCTTTTTGTTGATGTTGTTCGTTTGTTGTTTAAACGCCGCGTAGCATATCTAATGATACTTGTGTAAGAACAACTTTGAAAGAGTCGTTAGTGTATTATTGTATTATTAATAATAATATCAAAGCAAATTAGGCACACGCTTCTTTTGTTATTGTGTGCTTTTTCAACGCACATGCATGCTTATTTGTCGAATGTGATGATAATAAAAGAGTAACCTTCAAGTAACATTCACCTAATCCAAATGTCATTTTCTTCTTAATTACTCGTCTAATCAACGTGAGCACTAGCATGTTTGACTTCTTTAAATTTTCAGGTCGAGCTTAAGCCCATTTCATCAGGCCGTATATACTACATTCTGATGTTCTTGGTACTTACTAAAAAGAGTAAAGGCTACTCATCATCACCTGTTGAGTGTTGAGACATTTTGAAGGCACGAGTAGTGTTTTTATAGTTTCATTATTACATTAGAGGTAAAAATTTGTTTTCTCTAGTTGAACAATTTAATTTTGAGAATCTTAATTTTCATATTTTCTCTTGTTAATTTTTCTTTTATTAATTGTCGTTTCCTTGACTATGTATGATGCTTGCGAGAATACTAGCTAGTTTTTTTTTTTTTTTTTTTTGCTCCGTTTGCTCAAAAATTTATTTTATGTATTCTAAATATATTTTAGTCTCGTATTGTAAAATAATATGATTTTAGACATTGCCTATTAACATGATCTCTTTATAAACTTCATATACTTTCAACTCTATGTGTGGATTTTAGCTTTTGAAAATTCCAAAACTGAAAAGCTTTATATATTGTGTCCAAGTGCAAATCCTTTACTATCTCGAAACTCGCTTTTCAGTTTTAGAATACTCTCAAAAGATAAAATTCTCCACTTATAATTGAAAGTATAAAATGATGTTATAAGAAGGTCAGAGTAATGTGCAATGTTTAAATCATATGTTTTACAATATGGAAAGTAAAGACATTTTAAAGAATACACAAAAAGGTGGTTGAGCGAGCCGAGCAAAAAAAGCAAAAAAGACTAGCTACCTTATCACAAACATCACAGTTAAGAAAACGATAGCTAATAAGAGAAGCATTAACAAGAGAACATATGAAAATCAAGACTCGTCAAAACTAAATTATTAAATAGTGGAAACTAAAACTTAACTCTAATGCAATTATGAAATCATGAAAACACCATGATTCGTTCACATTACTTTTTAAAGTGTCCCAACAGGCAACAGATGATGAATATTATGCAGTCAAGGAATATGAATGTTACGTACCCATGGAAAGGTTTCACATTACTGCATATATTGTTACTACCTTGAGTAAGAATAAACTTCATATATCCACTCTTGGGGTTTCTTCTTTCCTTTAATGGCATCTTCAAGACCTTCAAGTTAACAAAGAAGAGGTGAGTCAATTTACACAAACCCTAATATTTCTGCTTGCAACAAACCATAAGAAGAAAACTTGAAAATTAACTCTTGCTTCGATTGATGTGTTTCTATGTATTAAAAATTAAATAGTTACTGGGTCAATGAAAGAAAAAGAAACCAAACAACCAACTCTTTTCAAAGTCTATATTCTTTTCTAGGGTGCTCAGTATTTATATCCACCGAGAAAAATTGCAACATATATCAATGAAACCGTTCCCTTAAATATTAATGTTGCTGTTAAATATACGTTACGAAGTATGTTTTTTAAGTTACGAACATTACTGCAATATATAACTTAAGAAGTATGTTTTTAAGTTATGAATATTACGTTAATTACTGGTTTTGTTGCCATAATATTTCATAACACTTTTTGATATGTTGATGTTTTGTTGGAATATAAGAGGGATTAATGATCCAGACAAACAACAACGTTTTAGATTTTGGTGCCAGCAACAACGACCACTTTTTGGGTGTCTCTTGGAGACACATGTTTTGGAACACAATGCACAGAACGTCTTGAAAAAGATCCTGCCAGGGTGGAGTCTCATCTCAAATTATGAACACTCCCATATAGGGAGAATTTGGGTTGTCTGTAGTAATGCGGTAAAACTTCTGGTGTACAGGAAGACTCGCCAGCAAATCACTTGCGGTTTTCACTGCCCTGAAAAGGATTTGCAGTTCACGGTAACTTTTGTTTATGGTGCTAACCTTAGGCATGAAAGAGCTCATCTGTGGGATGATCTATCTGATATGGCCTCCAACTCCCCTTTGAGAAATGCTCCGTGGCTTGTTTTGGGGGATTTCAATCAGACTCTTCGGCCTGAGGAACATTCTAGAAGAGAAGACTTTGAAGTCTACTCAGGGGGTTGCAGAGAGCTTCAAGGCTGTTTGGATTCTTGTGGTTTAATGGATTTGCCTTTCCATGGCCCAATATATACTTGGTGGAATCACCAGCAAAGCACTCCAGTTGCTGAAAAGCTTGACAGAATGTTAGGCAATGTTATGTGGCTAGCAGCCTTCTCAAGCTCTATTGCGACTTTTGAAGAACCTCTTTTTTCTGACCATGCCTCTTGTTGCATCCGTTTTCAAGAACAAGGACCTAGAAAAATAAGACCGTTCAGATTTAGCCACCACCTTTTGCAACATGAGAGTTTCCTTCAGGTTGTTCAGGAAAGCTGGAACTCACCAGAAGAGAGTTCAAATCCTTTGATGCGGATAAGTAAAAAACTTAAAAGGCTGAAAGGTAAACTAAGAGAGCTTAACAAGTCAGCTTTTTCTGGAATTGAAAATAGAGTGCGTGTGGCATTAGCAGACCTCAAGGCTGCCCAAGTAGATATGTTCATGAACCCTTCTCCTGCAGCAGCGAGTATAGAAAGGAAATTATATCTGTCGTGGCAAACTCTGTCTAAGGCTGAAGCTACTTTCCTACATCAAAAATCGGGTATAAAGTGGATATCTGATGGGGATGAAAATACAAGATTTTTCCACAACAGTGTCATTATCAAGAATGCTTTCAATGGGATTAAGCGGCTTAGACTGGAGGATGGGTCGATAATCACTGAGAACAACTCCATCAAGACGGCTTGTGTGGACTACTACACTTCTATCTTTGGAACCTCAAACTCTACTCCATGCCTTAGGGCATGTGTCCAGTCAGTCCACCCCTTCCGATGCTCTGATGTTCAAAAATCTAGTCTTGAAAGGGTTTTCTCTTCTTCAGAGATCAAAGCTGAGTTCTTTGCTCTACCTAGAGCAAAAGCCCCTGGGCCAGATGGTTACACAGGTGAGTTCTTCAGGCATTGTTGGGAGATAGTGGGAGGTGATATCATTGAAGCAGTACAGTATTTCTTCTATACTGGTAAAATGGAGCCGAGTTGGAACTCAACGGCTGTCACTATGATAGCAAAGGTGACTAATGAAGAAACAGTCTCAGAGTATAGACCAATCTCTTGCCTTAATGCGGTGTATAAGGTCATCTCCAAGCTGCTTGCTAAGAGACTTCAAAATCTCCTCCCTGAGATGATTCTAGAGAACCAAACCGCATTTATCAAGGAAAGACAGATTGTGGAGAATGTTTTGCTTGCCTCCGAGCTTGTGCAGGGTTACAACAAGACGGGTATCTCCAAGCGTGGTATGCTCAAGATTGATTTGAGGAAAGCTTTTGACTCCATTGAGTGGAGTTTCATCATTGATATCCTGGCAGCCTTGAACTTTCCAGCAAAATTCATCCACTGGATTAGTCAATGCATCAAGACAACCAGATTCTCAATTTCTGTTAATGGGGAGCTTTGTGGATACTTTAAGGGAAAGAAAGATCTCAGGCAGGGAGATCCTCTTTCTCCCTACCTCTTTGTGATAGGAATGGACATATTTTCTCGTCTCCTCGACCTCAGGTTCCAAGCTGGTCAAATTGGCTATCACCCAAAAGCAACAAATCCCAATGTTACCCATCTGATTTTTGCTGACGATGTGATGGTTTTTTTTTATGGTGAAAGTGCTTCTTTACAGGACATTGTGCACCTTCTGGACTACTTCTCCAAGATCTCGGGTCTCGTTTTGAACAAAAACAAAACTGAGATTTTCCTTGCAGGCTCCTCCTCGTCTGCTCAAGGTCTCCTCAGTACTGGCTATGGTTTCGCTCTTGGAACTCTCCCAGTTAGGTATCTTGGATTGCCTCTCTTGCCTAATCCACTATCCAGATCTGATTGTGAACCACTGGTGCAACGAATCAGGAAAAGAATCCACTCTTGGCATAACAAGCACCTTTCATATGCAGGGAGATTACAGCTTCTAAAATCCGTTATTCAAAGCACCATCGCCTATTGGTGTGCAGCGTTTATCCTCCCTGCAAAGTGTATAAAAGATATTGAGAAACTTTGCAGAAATTTTTGTGGTCTGGTTCTGCAGAGTTTCCTAGACAAGCGAAAGTCAGTTGGAAGCAAGTGTGTTCTCCTAAATCTGTAGGGGGACTTGGCCTCAACAACTTGAAGGAGTGGAACAAAGTTTTTGGTCTCAAGTTGATCTGGCACCTTTTCTCAGCATCAGGCTCGCTCTGGGTCGCCTGGTGCAGGAAAAAGAAGCTGAGAAGAAAATGTTTTTGGAATCTGTCCCCAAACAGTCAAGGCTCCTCCATGTGGAAGCAAATGCTTAAGCTGAGAGGTCTTGCAAAAACTTTCATCTCCTGCAAACTAGGTGATGGTCAATCATGCTCTTTCTGGTTTGATAAATGGACTCCTTTTGGAGATTTGTTTTCCTTCCTGGGAGTTGAAGATCACCTGCGAATGGGTCTTCCTCTTGACTCAACTGTGGCCAAGGCTAGAACTAATGATGGCTGGATGTTCAGAGGGGCAAGAAGCGATAATGCTGAGCTTCTCTTCACTCATCTCGCAGAAACTGAAATTACGGCGGATGTTAGGGACGTCTACATGTGGGCTCGACCGGTTGGTGATCCTCAAAATCGGTTCAGTTTCTCTGAAACTTGGAACATGTGCAGACCTGCGAACACGGAAGTTTCCTGGCATAATCAAGTTTGGTTTCCAGGTTCTTTCCCAAAGTACTCTTTTATCATATGGCTTTGCTGTTTGGATAGAATGCCAACTCTATCTAGACTTAGAAATTGGGGCATTGTTGAGGATGATAAGTGTTTCTTGTGTGAAATCTATTTCGAGACAAGAGACCACTTATTCCTTAGATGCCCGTACAGTTTTGATCTCTGGAGATGGTGCTTAGCTAAACTGAGTATTCCTTTCACTGGGTACAACACGTGGGAGCAGTTCATGGGCTGGTTGAAAGCTCCCTCAGCCGAGAACAAAATGGCTTCTTTAAAGCTCATCGTGGCCCAAGTTGTGATTTACTCCCTTTGGCATGAACGTAATGCGCGGATATACACCAACACCCGTACCCCGGTTGAAGGTCTGTTTCCAAGTCTTGACAGGAGGATTCGGAACACTTGCCTGGCTAGGAATGATAATCCTAAGCTTTAGGGCCTGCTTGCGCTATGGTTTCGAAATCTCTCTCCCTAGTTTTGATATATCTCTCTATTAGGTTCTTGTACCGGGTTTGTTCATCCCGGAGTTCGTTGTCGTTGTGGCACCATATTAATCTCTACTATGTAATCGGATGATAAGTTTATATAACCAGAAATTTTATTAAAAAATAATATTTCATAACACGTATGGACTAATCTCCAGCGTGTCTAATTTAATCAAGACTTTGAAAGAGTCGTACGGAACAATATCAAAGCAAATAAGGCACACGCTTATTTGTCGAACATGATGATTTCTAAGTAACATTTACGGATATACCTAATCAAAATGTCATATTCTTAATCAATTGTAACGTGAACAGTAGCATATTTGACTTCTTTGAACTTTCGGTTCAATATTATTCATCCGTTAAGCCCATTTAATGAGGCCTTATGTAATACACATGATGATGGATCAAGTAATAGATATACTATTATAAGTCTATTATGAATAATCACGAATCCAGGTTGAAACCATTTGGACCTCCTCTATTTTTATTATTTTCCATTTGATGATGAAAGATATGGACTTATATAGGCTGTATAGCACCAAACAAGTTATGGAATGCACATTTGTAGTCATTTTTCTTGGATAATAACAAGGAAGGGAGCATTAGCAAAGCAATGGGTTTCAAACTTTAAAACATATACACAACTGATAGTGTGATAAGTATAGTTAAAACAGAACTACTACATAAGTTAACTTTACAATCAAAACTTTACTAGTCATGTTTTCTCTCAAGAACTCCTTAAAGTTATAACCAGTACCAGATGACATAGAGTTATGTGACTATTGACCAATAATGTAATGGAAGTATGGAACACATTATTATATGTAGACATATGAAATCGTAGGCAATGTAACAACAGTAAAAGAAGATTAAATAGACAAGCGTAGTAGAGAGCTAGGGGAAGGTTGCGGGCATAATTAAGTGCACATGAGAGCGTCTCTGGAACTTTTAAGAGTATCGCCGAAAGTCACAATTTTTTTCCATCTCCATTATTTTTGTCGAAATCTAAGTACAACCATATACTTATATATATATATACTTTCTTCTTCACCCACTATAAAGGCTCCAGCTTCATCAGAACATATATAGTACACTATTATATAATAATATGGTCAGCAAATGGATGGGACTCTAAATCGTCTAAATTAACTCAAAAGCAACTTATAACCTTTTGGTGATAATATGAGCAAACCCTTTGTGAATCTCTTTACTGTCACATAATTTAGATTTAGCTGGCTCGCTAGTTGTCATTTAAAACCACATAATATATTGATAAATAAAGATTTTTATTTTTTAAGAAAGTCAACATATTAACAATTTTATAGAGAGATGATATATATAAAGAGTTTTTATGTGTGTTTGTTGTGTTTGAATTCTTATTAAAACAATTGGTACTTGTTATTGTTTAACGCCAACGTCTTAAAATTTAGATAAAGTTTGTTGGTTTTGTACCAACCAATATATTCGTTGCTTGGAACCAATCTTAAAATAACTTGAAGTTGAATCTTCATTGAACCCAAACAATCTCGTCTCTGGTAAATACTTCTATAAGACACAAAATCATATACGATCAAATTCGAGAGTAACAAAAGAACTAGTCTTTCTCCCCAAGAGTAATTTGCAAAGCATGTAAATAATTCTAAAAGTTTACATTTCAACCAAAGAAAGAAGAAAAGATTACAAAATGAAAGAGGGTTACTTACCCCACCTAAAAGCAATAATTCTAAAACTCTCCCCGAAATTTTGCGAATGTTATAAAAGTTCCAAAAACAAAACAAAACAATATGTATGTACATTAGAGTTGGCATAGTTGGCATCTTTGCTGAAATCATTCCAGCTCTGCCACAACCATCCAAGAGAGAAACTGACAGCTTTGCCTTTGGCCTTTTGGCAATTTTTTATACCAAGTATCTCTCACCTTACTACTCTCAACTACACTACACTACACACACATACTCTCATCATTCTACTTTTTTCTATTGTACCACCACCCACTCAACTCATATAGACCAACACCACTCCCCAAATTAAAAAAAAAAAAGTAAAATTTACACTGACACTTGGGTACACTTCAATATTTTAATTAAGAAAAAACACGATAAGATACGAACATTCTGATCCTGACACTTTTCCTCAGAGTATATATATTACTTAAAATATCTGAGACTTCTTTTTTTTTCTATGGCGTTTTCTTCTTCATCTTGACCTTTCTTGTTTCTTGCCTCCCAAGCAACACTGTAAATTTGAATCTTCTTTTAAAGTGTGATCATAGACGTGAAACTATTCCTCAGACAACAGAGATAAGTTAATATACCTGTATGATTGTTTTTTGCTCATTATGTCCACCATGCAAAGTGTGAACTTTCAAACCCAAAACTCAAAACTCAAACTCAAACTCAAAAACTCATGTTTCCGTTTTCTTTAACGCGGTTAAGATCGATGTTTCTCAGATCACGTAGATGTTGCAGAATCTCATGGAGTAGATGTACACCTTTGTCACCTTTTTTCAATGAACCAACACAATGTCTCAAGAACTCTCTATCTGCCTCTAGAGCTTCTAGTCTCTCGTAAATCTCATCCACTTCTTCTTCTACCGTCACATTCTCGCCGTTCTCTGATTCATCGATCCCATTATCGTGATGGTTTCCGTTAGATAACCCGTTCTCTTGCAGCTCTCCATCGACAGCATCAAACAGGGGAAGTAGTCTCTTTGACTTGATGACTCTGTGTTTCCCGTTTGTTTCCTTACCATGAAAATGCCCGTTTCCATTCTCAAACGTTTTAACTCCCTCGTCCTCTTCGTTATTAAGATCTGTGAGTTTATCTTCAAGAAACTTCAACCTCCCAAGAATCGATAGCCTCTCTCCTTCATAATCATCTAAGCACTCATCAAGACGAAGCACAACATCAACGGGAGTATTCTCCATCTCATTATCTCTGTATTTCCAATCTCCTTCAAAGCTCTTGTGATGTACCTCTCCGTTGGTGTGGTTCTCATCTGAATCACCATTGTTTCTATACGAATCAACAGAAGAATCTCTCATTCTCCTCCTCAACATCCCCATTTTCTCTTTAGCTTCAAACTCCTCCAATCTCTTTCTATACACTTCTAGCTCCTTCTCAAGCTCAGCATTCTCCTTCTCTCTATTCACCATAAGCTCATTCAACAACTGCAACGCTTCTTGATCGAACTCAGCTTGCTCCTCCATCATTCTCTGATACTGCAACGCCTCCATCTGCATAGCCGCTTTCTCCTCATGCAACCTATTGATCATCGCCATTGTTTCACTGGCAGCAACCGCAGACGCATTCCTCTCTTCCTCCAGCTCCTCGTATAAAGCAGTAAGCGCTTTTCTCTCTTCTTGTAACTCTACCTTCAACTTGTCCACAGTGAGACATTCAACACCATCAACAGATTCTGTTCCGGATACTATTCGATCTAAGTGAAACATAGCATTGTGTAGACTATGCGATCTTTCCAATATGGCAGGAGTTTCTCGAAACCGCTCTTCGTTGATGTTCGTAATTGTTTTGAACTCCAATGTATCCTCCTCTGTTTCATCTAAAGAAACGCTCAAATCAAAAAACAGAATACAACATAGGCAAAAATGTAACATTGGTACGCAATAAGTTTTCTATTAAGGTGTGTGTATGTATAAATTAATTACCATGATCACTGTCAACGTCGTCGTTAGGATTGAGTAGTTGTGATGAAACATCTCCGATTTGCTCGTGATCAGGAATCTCTGTACCTATAGAAACCTCTGCGTCTGTTTCTTCATCGTCGTTCTGCATTTGCTCTACATCATCCGTCGAAGCACCTATAAACTCACCAAACTTAAAAGAGTAAAAAACAAGAAACTTCAGTGAAAGCTACGCAAAGATGTATGTACCTAGATTCGTTGTTGCCACATCCTCCGGTTTCGATTCAACAGGCGAAGCAGCCGCGGTGATTATTACCTCTTCGTCCTCCTCCTCCTCCTCCACAGCCGCCGTGAAATCAGGCTCAGCGCCGAAATCGAGAATAAAATCACCGTTAACATCGGAAATCTCACGAACTTCATCGCTGGGTTTGTAGAATTCAACGGGAATCAAATGACAGTCTTGGTCATCAATATAGAACTCAAGGTTTTTAGGCGCGGGTTCAGAAGTCTCGACCTCTACAGCCAGATCCACTTTGTTTTCTTCTTCTTCTTCTTCCTTCTTTATTGTAAGCTCTTTGTTACAGTCGAAGCTTGATACATAGCAAGAGAATTCCTCATCTATATCAGTAGAAGAATCGCTGCTAACTTCATCTTCTTCAATTTTTCCAGGAGATTGCGGAACAATTTCGATTACAGTGTTCGTCTTCTCCTCCTCCTCTGTTTCTTCTTCCACTCCATTCAAAATCACGGATCCTGTTTTGTTATCCACTTCTTGTTCGAATACGAAGATCGATCGAGGAAACTTAAGACCATTGTAAATCTGGCCTTCGTCTCCGATGGGATAATTTACAATACCCAAATCAGGCTCAATCGGGGAAGATAGTGATGAACGTATCATCGTCATCATCTCACGATCCTTGTGAGATTCACGGGAACAACTATTTTTAGGTTCTTCTTCTTCGACAGGTTTCGAGTGAAGAGACCGTTGTGGTATAGAAATCTGGAGAGCATGATCGTCGCAGAGGAGATCTCTAAGGGAAGGGGATTTACCAGAAGCGTCGAAGAAACGATCGAGCCTAGAGCAGAAGAGGCAAGGACGTTTGAGACCGAAGAAATCGGCGAATCTGAGGATGAAATAAGAGAAGAGAGAGTTGAGAAGAATGAAGAAGATGAGTGACCACTCGAGGAAAGCGTAGACGAGGATTAGAGTGATTCTGTTTGTTTTGCGGTGGATCAGAGTCGCGAATCTGTTAGCCGCCATGGACGACGACGATGAAGACCAAGGCTCTTTATTGAGTGAATTTGGAGATTTTATTTACAGAGTCAGAGAGAGAGAGAGAAAGGTGTGTGTGTGTTGTGTTGTTGTGGGGGAGACGAAGTTAGGAAGGAGAGAAAGACTGGTCAGCTTTAAGTAAGTTAGCCGGAGAAATCAAACCGACCATTTTTCAGACTTTTTTATTTTATTTTTTAAGTTGAATTTTATTTGTTTCTGACAAACAACAACAACTAAAAAAGGAAAAAAAAAATCAAAAAAATATGGAAATTTTCATATAAAGATAAGGCTCAAGTTTGTTAAAGGGAAAAAATAAAATAATTGATAAGTAAAAGATTAATGTCAAAAATGACTGTTGATTATTAGGAAAAGTATCTAAAATAACTAAATTTGTGTTTTTCTAAAAATTAATGAGTTTGGATAAACTTACAAATGTCTTTTTCTATCTGGCAAAATAGATTCCGAAATTGACAAAAGCACTATTTACATGTGGAGAGACGTATAACATATGTATTATATCTATGATTTTTAAAAATGTAATTGTTAATATCTAAGGACTAAAGGTATGTACTATAGCATATGATATAAGTACATATATATATCAAAAATGTAATTGTTAATATATAAGGACACATTATATAAGTACATATATATCAACAAACCTAATCTCTAATATATGTTAAATTCGAATGATCAAATTTGTGTTTATATACATAATACATTAACACAACGTATACGTGAGAAAACATTGCTTTTTTTTTATTATCCCTATTATTAAGGTTAATATAATATCTTTCATTGTATTTTTTGAAAAAGTAATTTGTGTTTGCTAACATGGGTACTAAATATCCTTGTGGATAATCTAAAATATTAATTACTCATCGAAATTAAAACCTGATTTGAATGACATTGACCAAAATATTTAATGTTTCTGGTTACAATCTCTAGAAAACACATTTTTTTTTGTTTTAGATTTGCCGTTACAAAAAGAATTAAAAAAAAATTAGAGGTTTTAATGTGTTACAAATTAATCATCTTTATATTGTAAAACAATAGATTTACTTCGTATGTTGGTGAATAAGTTAATTAAAATTTAGCAATAAACATGTTCTCGTCAAAAGAAATACACTGTATATACAGGCGGGTAGTGATTTAAATTTTTTTGTCGTTAAGGTAATACTAATTTTATGATTAAAACATTGCTCGTGACGCAATCATACTGTTTGGTTTTTATTTTATTTTAGTAGAAAAATTAAAAGAAAACATTGCCACGTGTATATATATAACCCCGCCACTCTGCCTTTAACTTTGGAGAATGGGCCCAAACATGTGCCCCACATGCGCGTAAATGGGCCTATTCTTTTAAAAAAAACTAATATTTACATATTATAACCATTTTAATCTCTCAAACACCCAACGAATTTATCTAATAAACTTTTGTTTGTTTTTTTTCGATAAAAATTGTGAACGGTTTGGTTACTTACTCTATTTTTTGTTGTTTTCTGTTTATTTAGTGATCTATTTTTCACGAGATATGGCGTATGAATGAAGGTTTTATTAGTTTATTATATTAATAATCTCGTTGAACATATTTAGTTGTTCATTGTTGAAAACATGTGATTAATTAGTTTATAGAGAATAGAAAATTAAAAGCAACGAAAAATAATGCATATTACGTTTGTCGTACTAGAATGAATTGTAAAATCGTTTACTCAATCGGAAGTGGGTAAACAAATTTTTTCCTTTAGTTTCTTTTTATCAAACACCACTTTTACACTTACTTTCATTTTTATTGACCAAGTTATAACCAAAAAAGAGACCACAAGACCTTCATTGTTACAGCTTTAGACCCCCAAAAATATGATAGGAGACCATGCACAGTACTATACATATATAGTTTCGTTCATCGAATAGTCTGTTTCCGATGCAATATAGTTTCTTATTTGGCATGGAGATATCACTACTACTACATACAGTTAAAACTACAATTTCATATTGCTGATGCTTTTTACATTTACCAGCTCAAATAGTGGTTTTGAAGTTGTTTTGCCGAAGGGAATAACATATAAATAGTGCGGTATCTAGTTTTAAAAGTAGACATAATTTTATAAACAACTTCATTTGTAACGTGTGTGTGTGGACAAAGTAATGTATATTCGCAAATGAGCAAATAAAATAAAAAAATTTTTTTATTGGATTATAAGAAAAAAAGAGTTCATATATACATGGACCAGTCTAACATTATGTGCCACTTTTTTATATATAGAATTCACATCAAAACCAAATTTTAAATTTAAACCGTGTCCATTTTATAAAATATTGATGGGACATTTCAATAACATTGTGATAAAACGTTATTATATTATTATCCTGTATTCGTTAGCTGAATGGTTCACATTGACATCATAGGGACATACAAATATTGACTTTTTCGAAACAACACCATTTACAAATTTAATGTGTGTATACTATATATTAGTATGTCTTTATTTTCTAATGAGCTCGTGGCCTTGTCTAACATATTTCGCGTGTTGTCTAAGAGATAATCATCACCAAAATGTTATGTAAGTATCTAAGGTAATTAGTATTCAAATGGGACACAGCATATCCACGTACACTTACTTATATATCAGAATTTAATTAGTATTAAACCAGATCAAATTCGATTGCATACATATGTAGTGTGATCTTTGGAACTTGTGCGTTAGGATCTTTCTGATTCCAATTTATGTTTTAGCAAATAATTTGTGTGAAATGAAAAGGGCCATGTGGTGTTGGGCGTGGCTCATACAAAGTTTAATGACAGATCACTCCAACCTCACTGTTTTGCCTAATTATGCATACATACTTAAATGTAGTATAGAATCTTTCCAAAAATGTTGTTTAATTTGTTGGAGAACATTCATATCTCTCTAGTGGTTTTCAGATTTCTAATAAGCTAGATATTGGTATGTGATGTGCATGCATCTTATGATATATATAGTTAAAACTTTCACATCATTTTCTTGATGTCTTTAGTTGATGTAGAATTAAAACAGACGATAATATGAAACCGCTCTTAATTAGCAAATATATATATATTTAAATGGAAGTTGATTATACATCATACTATGTACTTATTTGATTTTATCATAGAAAACAAGAAAGGAGAAGCGACCTCAATGATTAACATTCGTCGGCTGAATCAATATATTGAGACTTTACAAATTATAAAACTAAAAATGGTACTGGTGGTGGGGTTTGCAGCCTAAGCTTTTAGGTTAAGCCTTTAACATGTGATTAACTTTCAACACCAATGACGCTCCAATCCCGGAAAAGAAGAAAATGATTTCGATAACTCTCACTTTGGATTCTTTAAAAGTTTGAAAAAACTTAAAATAACTCGCTAGTCACTTCCATGTAGAAAAAAGCTGTGGTAACTCTTTATTTCAAGGGAATTAATTGTTAAGAGTAATTTTCGAAACAGTAATGATTTGTATTGGAGAAATTAGTAATGAAGTGACTCAGATAAATTTTGAAGTGATTCTTCTCTTTTTCATCACATTTCTTTTAAATGTGTGTCTAATTCCCATATAGGAAGTTAGAGTTTAAGATAGTAGGTTTGCAAATTTAAATTTAGATTTTAGTTTTGTAAGAAGTCATGTGATAATTTAGATATAAACATGTACTTGTTAGTTATTAAAAAAACTGTAAGTGATGATATATGTAGTAGAGTAAAAGAAAATAATTATCAAAAAACTCAAAACCTGTTTAACCCTTTGTAATTTTTATGTGTGTGATGGAAAAAACAAAATCCTAAATTATGTCATGTTGATCATTTGCAAAATGTATGAAAACGCCTGATTTATGTTTTCGTAATATAAATTCAACAATTTCTGACTAGATATCTCTAAAAAAAGCTTTGTCATCTAGTTTCCGTTATAAACTTAATATATAGAATTTTGACAGAAAAGAGAAAAAGAAAATATATGACCAATTCTAGAAGTATTATACAAACATGTATATTTCATCTATCATTTGTATTAGAGATCGTCTTATAAAAGACGGGATATTAGATAAATGGTATGTTTTTATATCTAGAAGTACTCCAACAAAGTAAAAGATATAAAGGAAAGAATTGAAAATATAAATCATATCAAGAAGAGAGATTTTAAAACTAATAAGTGTAGAAAGAGTAAAAAAAAAAAAACTAAAAATGGTGAGAGAAATGATGGTGAATTGAGAGCTGTTAAACAGAGGTGGGGGTGCAGTGTCCCTTCTTTTATTATTCCTTACTAAAAAGTAATAAAATCAAAACATTACATAATTATAATTAATTTTACAATAAATAGAATAATCTTTAGAGAAAATCATATAAGATGTTCTTTTCTTTCTTTTACCCACTAACACTTTAAGGCTTCTTCAGACAAAGAAAACATAACACAAAATAATGCAATAGTGGAACAAAAGCATGTTGTGTGTGTTATGGCCTTATGGGAGATTCATGTCTTGTTTATCCGTTTCAACATTTCTGCAAGAAGAGACATTGGAATGTCTCTGTCTGTGTCTTTACTGTGAAGAACATTAAGGGACAGTTTTTGTCTACATGGTTGGTTCTCACTTCTCAGGTTCTGCGTTTGTAACATACCACACACTCACTCATTAAGGTTTCTCTATATAGTGAGGATCAATCAATAGGTTTATAAGAAGGAACCAAAATATCACAATAGGCTGTGAAATCACTACAAGTTGGCCAAGGTTTTATAGTGGAGATCAGAAGTATAAGAGACTATATCTCTGTGAGTTCTCTACTCTTTTTTACCATTCTTGATCTTTCTTTGATTTATTTCTTACTTTCAAGTAATCAAGAACCTAAACTTTCAAAGACATGAACTAAATTCTAAATATAAAAACGAATATGAATGAATACATGAGAAATTTGGAATGAGATTTGTCATTTTTATTTCATTAAAGATAAAACACTATATGCCAAAATCAACGTGGGACTTGCATACACGTGGAATTAATACGAGTCAGACGAAAGCCATCCTAAGAACAAACCCTCTGCCATTAGAACCAATCCCAAGAGATAAGGAAACTTCACAACCCAA